GGTATTGATGGGATTCCAGTGGAAGTTTATAAAGACTTCTGGAAGGGGGTTGGATGAAGATCTTTTAACAGTTTTTAATGAGAGTTTTAAAATGTTGCCACCCTCAAGTAGCAGGTAAGCAGTAATAACTCTCTTACTAAAAAAGGAGATCTACAAGAGACTAAAAAAATGCTCTCATGTGTCTCCCTTCTGTTTGGACTACAAAATCCTGTAAAAAGTGCTGACCAACAACACTAAGAGAGGTGATGGACCCAAGTAATAAATCAAGATCTGGCATTCTGTGTGTCTGGTAGACCCATTCTAGATAATGTGGCTTTCATTTGGGATACCTTGAACAGCTCTAGTACTTGAAACTGGTCTCATTTGTCCAGACCAGGAAAAAGCATTGGACTGATGGTTGAACACAACTATCAATGGAAGAATCTGGAGTGTTTTGGCCTCAGCCCAGGTCTTCTAGCTATGATCAAGGTTTTGTGCCATGTTAACTCATGGAACCTTGGCTCACTCGTTCCACCTTTCAGCCCTCAGCAGCAATTGTTGACTAGAGTCTGTGTTGAGCTGACTTCAGTTTGTTTTGTTGTTTCTTTATGTTCTGGTGGGACTAGTAGTCCTGTTTGCTAGGTTTAGTTAATTTCAGGTTGGTTTAGGGTACAGGGGGAAAAGCCTAGATCTCTATCCAGGCTGGTCTGGGTGGCTTCTTTTCTTTCTTTTGTTTTTATTTATTTTTTTATTTACTAAATTTCTGAGGACTGTACTACGAAGGGAGTTGAACCTACTCAGATTTAACCCGGGGTTAACAAGAAAAGTCAGAGCTGACAAACTCTTATGCCTGACTTTGGTGTTAAACAGTACTACAACAGCAATTAGGATATCAGTTAGTTAGTTTAGTGTTTGCATAGAAGTGCCATGTTCTGGGTTCTTCCAGGGAGGCTTGTTGACAGCTCTGTGTCGATAGTAAATTCATAAGTAACATTACAGTATTCTAGTAGTATGTCCTTTATTTTTCTGTTCTTTTTTATTTGTGATATGATTGAATAGGCTACAGAACTGGGGGAGAGGGGTAATATTCAGAGAATTTCCAAGATTAAATTGATTAAATTCATAAGAAAATGTTGAAAATACATTTCTGCACTGAAAATAAAATTTGGCATTGAAGAAAAAATCTGAACTGAAAAAGCATGGTATTGAAATGCTTGACAATTAATAAAGTTCCACTGAAAAATGAAACACAGACAATAAAAATAATTTAATTTTGTTAATATTTTTTAGTATTCTGATGTGTCTTTCAAAGACAATCTTATTTTTTCCTTTGTGTCTTTTTTTTCAGTTATTCAGGGTTTTTTTACACTGTTTTTTTTCAGTGTCACTGGTCTTTAATTTCAACTTTCTGTCACCATTTTGGTGTGGAGAGGAGGGGTAAGGAAGGCCTGATTTACATATCTACATACTAATGAGACGTCACTTCTCTGAACCGGAGGGCAGTAGCTCTTAAGGCTCTGATCACACACAAACAGCATACAGCACAGCTTCCAGGGGTTCGCCTGAAAGTCCCTAACCACAAGACTGTTGAGTTTGTTATTCTTTGCTGTTGGTTTTTTACATAGATTCAGACTCGGTTAAAGTTTTAACTGATCCTATGGTGGTCTGGCAGAGGTCTGCTGGAAGCAGCGTGTTGCAATGCCAATGTTTACTTTTCAGTTCAGATTTTGTTAAATTTTCTTTTCAGTACCAAAAAGTTAATGCCAACATTTAATGTAACTGTTCTAGCTTCATATAACCTCAGCACAGAGCAGCTTTGAGCCCTAAAATAACTCAATAACAACAACAAAAAAATCACTGCGAAGCCACCATAAAGGCAGTGTAGTTGTTGTGATGGATGTTATAACTTTAAGTAATGTATACTCCTTTAGTACTACTGTTTGTGGGTTAGGCTACTAACGTATTCAACAGTATACACGGAGGTAAGGCTGCGGTACGAGTACGTCTTTACTTGAGCTTCAACATCCAAACAACAACAGGCCTCAGTAATCAATCACAGAACACCAGGTAGCAACATTGACAATGCAACATAGTCGAGCACCGAGCGCTCAATCTAATATACCACAATGGACAGAGAACAATATCTGTGGGAGGGATGTAGGCAACTTAATGACAGGAATTGTTACCCATCTACCTTGAAATCATTACATTAGTCAAGAAAATTGTCCAAATATTACGTGATAAAAACTAAAAATGTCAAACAAAAGACATCTGACTTGAACCAGATTGCTTTATATTTTGGCCAAGATCCACAAAGACCTGACTAAGTGAAATTTCCCACATGAAATTACCCTAGGAAGACCTATAGTGTGTGACTGTATTAGTGAGAGCTATTACACGGCAAAGTTCCTTGATTTTTGTTTTTATTTTTTACACCCCCAGGTAATAATAATGTGATAATAATAAACGTTATTTATATAGCACCTTTCATAAGACAGAATGCAGCTCAAAGTGCTTTACAAGAGAGACAAATCAATAAAACAGGTATCAAAACAAGAGACATACGTAAGTTACTTGAAAGATACTATGACTTAAAAAAGTTAGAAACCTCCACATTCCTCAGCCATTTTATTTACCGTGGACATTGTTTACCAATACTGATATTTGGAAAGACATACAAGACATCAAAAACACATTTCGTAAGCGTCCTGAAAATGACCGGACAAGGATTTGCTGTGACTGTGCTGAATTACTGTAAATGAACAAGGAATGAGCTTGAAAAGTCAAACTGCAAAATCTGAAGGTCGTGTGAAAGGTTTCAAGTATTAAACCTGGTTACACAGCGAATAAAACATTTCCCTCTAAAAACTTATTACTTGATAATATGCAAACAGTGTGGTTTGCAAGTATTTTAGTAGATTCACCCAGTACAGAGATAATATTTTGCAGAAGATATTATATATCTATTGTAGTGTATTATTTTGTATTCCTTCTTGATACATTATAGGCACTAATTTGTTATACTCTGCCAAGGGACTACGGATGAAATTATCAGCTGGTAAATAAAAAAAAATTGAAAAGATGGAAACACACACTGCACTAGTAGAACACTTCCATATCCTCTGTCAAAGCCACTAGAAAGACATGAGATGGATGGTAGCTCAGAGAAAAAGAACTGAGAAAATTCAGTTTTTCAAATTGGATGTGAAACTAGGTCTGGCTCAGTGGAAAGCGATAATGGCCAGTGAATTCAAAGATATAATACGGTATGTAAAATTTCCGCCATTCTAAAAACTCTAGAACTATGTTCTATATGTAGTTGAGTTGTGCATAGTGCTGTGAAAAAGTATTTGCCTCCTTCCTGATTTCTTATTTTTTTGCATATTTGTCACACTTAAATGTTTCAGATCATCAAACAAATGTTAATATTAGATAAAGATAACCCGAGTAAATACAAAATGCAGTTTTTAAATGATGATCTAGGTCCTGAAGCAGCAAAGCAGCCCCAGACCATCACACTACCACCACCATGTTTGACTGTTGGTATGATGTTCTTTTTATGAAATGCTGCGTTAGTTTAACGCCAGATGTAACAGGATGCACACCTTCCAAAAAGAGACTTTTGTCTCGTCAGTCCACAGAATATTTCCCCCAAAATCTTGGGGATCATCAAGATGTTTTTTGGCAAATGTGAGAAGAGCCTTTGTGTTCTTTTTGGTCAGCAGTGGTTTTTGCCTTGGAACTCTCCCATGGATGCCCAGCCTTTTTCTTATTGTTGAATCATGAACACTGACCTTAACTGTGAGTGAGGCCTGCAGTTCTTTAGATGTTGTTCTGAGTTCTTTTGTGACCTGGATGAGTCGTCGATGCACTCTTGGAGTAATTTAGGTAGGCCGGCCACTCCTGGGAAGGTTGTGGAGGCCTCTGTGGATAATTGGGCTCCAGGTAGAAACCTCCTGAACCACTGAACTAACCAGGAGAAGCTGACTGCAATGACGGCAATGGTGGTGAAGACAACAACTCCCATAATCCCACACTACTTCACCACCCCACCAAACCCCCTAGAACCCATTTAATAATGTTACCAGTTCCCTGGAATAGACTTGAATGTTTGATTTGGTCATTTGATTTTTTTGGTCAAACAAAAGAGAATAAAAGAGAGAAACATATAGGGATGAGGAAAGAATGATGATATATTAATTGGTTTTTTTATGTATCTTGTCACTTTTTTCTCTTATCTTTGTTTTGTTTGTCTTGTTTTGTTTGCATGAACATCTGTTCAAGAAATTATTCATGGAAATTATTGTGAATTCATTTTTTAAATGATCGGAAAACTTACCTAAACCTAAACCTAAACCTAAACCCTGCGAGTGGACATCATACATACATATTGTATCAAAAAAGGTTTGTGACAAGACATAAACCCCAGTCTCTTACATCAAAGTCAGATAGACTAATCACCCATCCACTACCTAGAATTCTGTACGCAAACCTTCAACCTTGTTGCATTAAGGACAACATTATGGCGTGCAGAATCATCCTTTAAGGACTTCATTGCTATGATGCTGGGTTGGTATAGAATGCTGTTTGCTTCATATGGAAGCAGCCACCTTTGAACATCCTCAAAGCTGAAAGGCAGCACTTTAACCTAATAGTGGTTAATGGCTACCTGAAAACATCATGTATTTATGTTAGTCAAATCTGTCAGTCGGAGTGAGCATGGTCCTTCAGTGTGTCCAGCTCAGGCCACAGCTGGCCCATCAGGCAGGGGGTGGGGTAGGGCAGAGCGGCTGGCCAGCAGTCCTCTGTTTAAATGAATATCAATCAAGCCTCACAGGCCGAGCCGCCACCCCTCCGTCACCCCGGGGCTGCGATTGGTTCATAGGAGACCAACCTGGAGCGTCCGGTGGTGAAAGCCGCTCTATCAGTGTCCATTCAGTGACAACAATGAGGCTGAATAGCTAATGAGCTCTGTCCAGGCTGAGGTGTCTTCCTCGCACTATTCTCAGAGTAGCTTTGAACATGACCAGCAGCTTCCCGTGGGCCAAACGCTGGACCAGGGAACCTAAAGAATAGCAATGCTTTAATAAAAACAACACACATTTTAGCCTTATCACCAAAGAAGATACATAGTAGGAGGATACGGAATAAGAAGCCTTTCCATTTGGATTACTTTTTCTTTTATCCATTTCAAGAAACCAAAATGAAACCAAGGATCTTTCTCACCTGCCTGGCAGCTTTCTACTGTTTGAGTAAGTATAGTTTAGCTTTTAATTCTAGGACTGTAGCTTGTTTCAGCTGTTGGAGAGTGCAGGATGAGAACTGGGGGAACTTCACCAAGTGCAGAGAGCTGAGGATGCTGCTGCAGCCCCTACTGTTCTGTTGCTGCTTTGACTTTGACTGGAAGTTCAGTGTTTGTGTTCTTAATCAGTTAAATTCCATAATCATGATCATAATAGCAGCCTTATTGAAGATTTAATTGTTCCACATAGAATCGGTCAGTGAGTCAGTAAGTTAAACAAGAGCTGTTCCACCAGCATATCCTCACTGTATTTTAAGATATTTCAATTGTCAGGGGGCTTCTGCTCTGTCCTCATTTGCTAATCTAGATATTGCTAAGAAGGCTCGACTGGTCAGTTGAACTCAGTCCAGATGACTCAATATCTACATTGATGTGAATTGATGTTCACTGATCCCCTGCACACATATGAAATCTCAAAGTGACTGACCAAAGTATCTGGATAGAAAGTGGAACTAAGCATCAAGGTCCGCAACGACTGTGGATCTGACGAAGTTCACTTACAATTTGACAAAAATTCCACCTGGTCTTTCCTACATTTAAAGCTACATCTTGTGGCCTTCTCTCATGGAAGGCTGGGAAGCTTCAGGAACACCAAGTGGTGGTACTCTCTGATAAGAACTTTTTGTCAAACTGCTATTTCTAAGGTTGAGAATGAGCCTTCAACACAAATGAACAATGTTGTGGTAAATTAATCCAAACATACCTACATACATAGTCCATTTAAAGCTGTTATATTGAAGGTATTAACTAACTTTTTTATGCAAATTCACTGGCATTGTGTCACTTTCTCCCCCCGAAAACAGTTAAGGCAGGAGGCTATTGAATGGGAATTTATTTGGGGGGAGGAAGGCAGGGGGGTCTCCCCAAATAACATATATAATACAAATCAAAAGACTGAATTTGAAGGACATTAAAAACTGCTTGACTAAGCAAGAAAGTTTGTTCTTGAACTTGGAGATGGTAGTTTTACAAATAAATTAATAAATAATAGCTCAAGGTCCACTGAGAGCATCTAAACTGAAGGCTGTGAAGTGCAGTTGAAATAAGTAAGTAAGTGGACCTTGAGTTGAGATTTAATTTTTAACTGTTTAACTTGATCTAATAGTTTCTATTAGAATCAGGGTATATTTTTGGAGGAAGGGACCCAAAAAACACTTTTTCTGTACCCTGTATCAATTTATTCATATATTCATATTTCCAAACAATAAAAAAGAGCATTTCAAAAAAATTTAAAACCTGAAGGTCAAGTTATCTAAATTTTCTAGTTGTTTTCCAGGTACAAAATTTAGAAAGTTGTAAATGTGGACAAAAAAATTTATTATTCGAGACAAAACAGAGCAGCTTTGCATGAGAAGAGGATCAGCGCAGACAGAGTAGGAGGTTCTGTCTTTAGCTCAGACCACAGAGTCAGTGACCTCTGACCTTTAGGAGGGGGTAGGGCTCTAGGTCGTCCTGGTCAGCAGAGCAGTCTATGGAGGTGGGGGACCACAGACACAATAGGGCCCCCCCAAGTCCTCATCCTTCAGTGACCTGACCCTCATACCCTCATCTCCATAACACTGCCAGTTTGCGCTCAGATTGAGACCTTATTAAAGATATGTGTGTAAGAGGTAATCCCCCTGCAGCTGCCCATGACCATGTCTTTGACAACGCTCCCCTGTCACGGCTCCTCACTCGGTCTCACACTGTCCACAATGGACTAGGCCAGCAGAAACACCCCTTGGTTTAATCCACGGCTGTGACACAGAGGGCCTGCGGTGGCTGGGGGTTTCCTGCAGTGTGACAGAAAAGAGGCTAACATCTCAATCTGTGGAGAGTTTAGACTAATGCTAACAGGATTTGAACCATGTAAAGGTACGATAATGAGACTTTCTGGAGAGGATCCAACACTGACTTGACTGTATGAGGTGTTAACAAGCACACACTGCTTTGTAAACTTTAATGGAATTCACTTTTCCAGCTTATTTTGTTACTGGTTTATCAGTTAGTTTATAAAATCCACCAGGCTTTATATTGCCACAGAGGTAGAGCCTTATAATTCTAACGTCATCATACTGCAGAAAACAGCGGAAACATGACTGATTGGCTTCTGTTCACTCTCACAGATGGACCAGACTGGATGAATATGTGCTGAATATAAAAAAGCTTCACCAGTAGTTAGTCATGACCAGTAAATTTCCAACTGGTTAGAAAGCATGATCTAGCTTTGTAACCAGCTTGACCAGCATCATACCAGCCATCAAGTCTTTGACCATCAAACAGCCCCTTAGACCATGAAACCTTTCCCCCACAGTAGATGCACATTAGACCATGGACCCCCAGTTTGAAGAGATTTTGTCTTATGGAATCGATCAAGTATTTTTTTATTTGTACATTACAAGATTATAGTCTTCATAGTCAATCAATGATCAAACTGGGATCACTATAAATTACAATAAATACAAAGGGCCAACCCTATTTCACCCCTTGTTCCAACTTCAAAAAAATTGTATCAAATATTCTATTGATCCTTTTGCTGGGGACCCCCTACAACCCACCTAAGGACCCCAGTTTGAAGATCAATGCCCTAGCCTAGACCATCAAAAACCAGCATCGATCATTAGCTGGTCTGAGCCTGATGTTTCAGAAGGGAACACTGAGGTTGCACCAGGCAGATCCCACAGTTTGTGTCACCACGTTTCCTAACTGTGAAATGTGGTGCTGCTGGCGAAGAGCATGGAGCTCGGATGACTTATCTCGGAAAGGTTTTGGTGTAAATTGTCTCTGTGGATGTTGAACTGAAAACAGACATCTCAGGAGCAGGTCATGTTTCCAGCACAGTCCCTCAGCTGTTAAGTTAAAGGATAGGTTCACAATTTTTTCTGTCTTAAAACAATAAGTCAACCAGGTACTCGTATGAACACCAAAACAGGTTTTGCTTGCTTTAATCATTCCTTCTTTCCATTCTCTGCATTAAATGACCCCTCTATTTTAAACTACTAGACTTTATAACTGTGTAAACCTTCCGATGATAATATTTAAACTGGTAAAATACCAGAATAGGAGCCTATAACTAACAATTATCTTCCTCTACTACTATTATTGTCCCATTAGACTCACTCATTTGTCCAGCTTTCACTGATCTTGCAATCTCTGTCCTGTGCAGAATCACCTGGCTGTGTCTTAGCTTGAGTGTCCTGCCAGGCATCTTGTTTTTAATGACATTTCCTTAATAAGAGTTGCTGCATCCATTCTGTGAGCTGACACCTCACTGATTAAAAAAGGACAGACAAAGAGGCCTCCTCTTCATCACATTAGAGATTATTGCTTATTGATCCACCTGGCTGGTGGGGACACTGTTTGGTCAGGCTTTTTAAATCTGCACTGACCATTAGAAATCAGCCCTTCAAATGCAGATGGGACGGCCTGCACCCCAGGACCCATGGGGCCAATGTCAGTTTATGCATGGGTAAACATGTTATCAATAGGTCAGGAACGTAAGATATGTTGCTGTGAAAAGACCCAGCCTGATCCCATACTAAGTTTGAACTTAGTATTGTCATTGCATTGGTATAAAATATTCTCACTCACTCCTCATAACATATGATATACATTTTGTAGGTTTCACATTGAGGAGATTTAAAAAATGAAGTCAAGTTCTGTGAGAACATCTTGAATAGGCCTAGGTACCAAACCGCAATAAATCTTTGGTACTAGTTCAGACTGAAATGTGCACATTATTAATATTGTTTACCTTTTGCTCAGATAGTTCCAGATTTCAATCCAAACTTTTCTTTCATCAAATGTTGACTTCTTTTCTTAAATGAAAGAAGGGTTTTTGTAGAAAACAGATTTATATTTCTCAAAGTAAGGACCGAAATAGTGTTGTATTATTGTATCCCTGACAGTATCAAAAGACCACACTGAGCTTGCTGAATAATAACAAGTTGTCTTAAAACTATGCCTGTTATCTGTTTAAACTGCACTTTCAGTCATGGACACAATCATGTTTTACCTCTGTTCATTTCTTTGAAGCACTCAGTGTTTAGACATTAAACATGGCAAATGACACCTAGCAAATGAACTAAACAAAGGACCACCAACAGCAACTACAATAGCATGTTTGCGTAACACAGAAGAGAGAACTTGCTGTCTCCAAGCAAGGAGTTTTACTCCCATTAGGAGGACAAAGGAGGAAGCCCTGGGGCAATGTCTTTTCTGCCTGCCCAGCTATTCTAATCTTCCAGCCTAGACCTTGTTTAAACTGAAAGGGAAATATTGCATATTGAATATGCTCTGATTTGTTCATATTTCAATTATCAAACATTTGCGCAAATGATATGTGTGCAGATATGTGCTGCAAATCTATAAAATATTAAGCTCCAACCCTAACTCCAACCCTCAAAGCTTCAGCCTTATTCTCAACCCCAACCCCTAACTCTTGAAGCTTCAGTCTTCTCGACCCTCACCCTTACAGCTCCAGCCTTAGTCTTAACCCTATCCTTAACCCTTGCAAAGGATTCATCAGAAATATTTCTCAGTTTCATTCCTCTTATCATTCCAGCTGAAATCCACCTAAGGTTGCCTTTTAAACAGAGATGTCTAAACGGGGGATAGAGGATAAAGGAAAATTAATTGATGAAAGGATTTGTATATGGTGCTCAAAACCCCCTTCTCTTTCGCTGTGCCTTTTTTTTATGGGGGGTGGAAAAAAATCTGTGAAGTTCAGGGGCAGCAGCTCGCTAAACAATAGCAGCAGAGGCTGGGAGGGTAGCTCAGGCTGGACACAAGCTAACCCCCCCCTGCACCCCTCATCTACACATCCATCCTCCTTACCTCTGACTCTCTCATGACCCCTGAGGGGCTCAGGGTTACAAGCACTGGGTGCTAGTGTGGGGGTTGCTGGACAACCCCCTCCCTTTGAAAAATCTCATTATGGTCCTATCCCTATATTGAAAATGGTCCAATCTCTAATGCTATGCACTTAATCACACCTCATGCAGGTTCAGCTTGTTGGAACTTGCATTTAACTCCTCCAGTCTGGAGCTGCTTTGTTGTCAAACATCCTTCAGTCTTGACACACTGATATTGTCCTTCATCCATCTTAATGTAAAGATTTGAGGCATCACTCTGGAAATCAAATCTCAGAAGTTAGCTCAAAACCGATATTGAGTTGATACTTATTTGATACACCTGTATCAATCCAATACAACAGACCTTCAATGAATCCTACCTTTTATGAGGATAATCCTACAATCCTACTTTGAAGTTAAGCTATAGTCTATTTTGTCCACTCAAACCTAAAAAGGACCAAAGAGTTGAATTCACACCTCTCTTATATGAGCAGGTTAAGCTTAAGAAAGATCATAATGATTGCCAGACTGTTGTATTGGATTGCTTTAGATTGTTGGTGTCCCTAATAAACTGTTAACTCAGAACAAACTATGGCTCCCTAGTAACAGGGTTTTGCTCTACCCCAGCACCTTACCAAACCCTAGGATAGTAGGCTATATGATTCTACAACCCAGTGGCTCACTGATATAGATTCTCCTCATTAACAAGCATTTAGATTTTTACTTCAACCAAATAGTGCAGCAGCACAGACCACTTTTTTTTTCCTGAATGAGGATGTGTAGATAAGTGCTACATTGATGGTCTGAATGAAAACATGCTATGGAATATGGCCAATATTTAAGAAAAACTTAAAACGAACATCCTGTAACAGTCTACCCTGGTCCATTCTGCTCCTTGATGCTCGATTACATATCTTAAATTGATTTCCCTTACCTTAAATTACATTACCTTAAGTTACTTTGCCTTTCCATCACTTTATGTTGCCTTACATTACTTTGCATTAGCTAATGTTAACTTACATTGTGATGTGTTCTACTCTAGAATTTTGTCATAGTCAGGCATTATTAGCATTTCATCTTCTGAGATAATATCTAAACAAAAGAACAATATATACTGTATAAGCAGCCAGTCTTGAGAAGATATCTTGTAGTGTGTTTTCAGTCTTGTACCTGCTACCTAGACATTGTTATGTTGATTATTAAGTAGGAACCAGGCAGGAAAGTCCATGTTAATTTGCCTTACTGTTTTAAGAGTCCTGCTATGACATAACCTTGGTTATGAACATCTGACTTACCATAACTGCTGCTCTGCCCCCCGCTCCATCATATTCTCTCCTGCATCAGAGATCAACATTGGCCTTTTAGGCCTCACAGGTTACAACACCATGTGTTCGATAACTGTGGCCACAGAATGTAATTCAAGCCCCCCCTTGGGAGCCCTGAATTTCATTACCAGGCCTGAGGGATGGGAGGCTCAGGGGGGTTTCTGGGCTCTATCAGCCTGTCCAGACGCAGCTGACCAGTAGACCCACACTCCTCTCTGTTGGCTGCATCTGCTGGGTGGGAGATCTCTCATTAGAAGGAGGGCAGATGCTCATTTCTTGATGTGACACATAAGAGAAGCCAATGACAGAGAGCATCAGGAGGGGAACAGTTCTGCTGTATGTTCAGGCTGAATGTTTGTAAGCTCCTTGGCTGTATTAAGTGACAATCTATAATCAGATTGTGTTATAAAACCTCTAAGCCATTTCATCAACTACCTTGTCAACGAGGAGTCATCAACCTGCTCATATCTATATGCAATGCCATGCACATCCATCCATACTTTTCATCAGGGTAAGCCATTGGGCAGTTATGCTTAATGTAACTGCTTGTGGAAGATATTTTATCCATGTTTACACTGATTTATTGCATTTGCGTGTGCGGATGTAAGACAATGTAGCTCTAGTGGCATTTAGGAGGTGTCCATCAATGCAGATAGTTTTGGTTTTATTTGTCCAGGTTTTGAGATATCTGTCCCTGACATTTCTGCCTCCAGCCCAATACAAAGGAGGTAATTACAGTTTTATCTGCAGTGCTTACAGCATTGAAAAATTCCAAAAGTTCAACTTTAACATCTGTTTCCATAATCATTGTAGAGTAACCAGGACTCTGGAAGTTTATCAGATTTTTCAATGCCATGAGCACCACGGACCAAATTCATTGCATTGTTGTTGAGGCAGAAGTCTCAGAGATATATAGGCCCACTGTATTTAAAAAGCTGAACCTTACCACTAGTGGTACCTGTATTTGGAGTTAGCACTAAAGGTTTTGTTTTTAATGAAGAATAAAAATCAATTGGAATATAAATGGGCACTAACAATGATGTTCAAAAATGTTGTTGAACATTTGCTAATAAGCAAACAGCTTCTGCTGTCCTTCAGAGTGGAAATGAACTTCACTGGGAACAGAAATACACAAAATGACTGAAGCCAACCCATAGTCAAGTTCAGCTGCAAGCGGCTGCTGGATGGTGGCTGGAAAACAAAAAAACTCTCAGCTGGCCTTAAGAAGAGGGTACATTTGGTTGAACAGATGCAATACTCCATAATGAGCCTGATAAGGCATTATGCAGGTTCAAGTGCAACTCTGATTGTTTGCCTCACAGCTGGGAGGGAAAGCGGCTATTGCAAGGGTTCAAGGTTCTTTGCATATGAGGACATTAACACCAAAAAAGATTGGGGAGACTGGGAGTGTAACCAAGGTCACGGAGAAGAGGGGACAAGGGTGACGAAGAGAGCTCTGGTGGCATGGGAAAGTCACCTCAGAGATGGATCTGAAAGGACGGGAAGAGATGGGAGGGGTGGAGGGGATGCATAAGAAGGGGCAGATGGTGCCCTGGGGTGCATGGTGGCTGACGGGATCTTTAACAGAGGTTACTGTGGGTTGGGTGCAAATAAGCATAGTCACAACACTATTGTCACAATTGGCCCCTGCTTCAATGGAGGCGCTCCTAACTTGACCCCTGCAACCCTTGCCAGTGTTCTCCTTCCAGCTCGGGTATTGTTGTTGCCCTCTCTGGCTGGATGGCTCGCTGGCATTCAGCCTCCATTGTGGCTCATCTTCAGTAAAAGCGTTATAGGCTGCAAAACCAAATGTGCCATCAATCAGATGAAATAGTTTTTGGTGTCGAGTGAGGTTTTTTCGGACAATTCGGGTAGGGTTCCCTGAGGCTTGATGTCTGGCAGAGAAGCCTCCCCCTGTGCAATTGTCTCTGGAACCATGGGCTGTTTGTGTGTTGAAGATGAAAAATTGGTTGAAATTTCTATAATCCACCATAATTTTCCTATGTCTTAATACAAAACACTCCCGCAGTTCAAGGTTGCTTTCCCACATACAACCCATTCCATGACATCTAAATGACATCCAGCAGTGAAACTTCTTAAAGGTCCAGTGTTTAAAATGTAGGATTTAGGCTCTATTGTCAGATATTTTATTTTGTATAACAGAAGTTATCTCAGGACACTTTCCAAATAGAGCAGGTCTAGACTAACAACAAGTTATAATTTACAGCAACAAGCAGATGAGTGATAAAGTCTTTCTCTCTCTGATAACCTATGTTTCTCTCTTCACCTGTGTCTGCAGGTGTCTGTCTGGCCTCAGAGCTGTCTTTCCTGCTGGAGCCCAACGATGTAATCGCGGTGAGGGATCGCCCACTTATGCTGGACTGCCAAGTGCAGGGTGAGGAGCCGATCATGGTTACGTGGCGTAAAAACGGGGTGCCTTTACCCACCAGCCCGCGGGTCCGAGTGCTGGCGAACGGCACACTGTTCATCCAGAGCTTCCAGAAGCGCAGAGAGGGGAGCGACGCAGATATGGGCGAGTACGACTGTGCTGCCCAAAATCGCTACGGCTTGCTGGTCAGCCGCAAGGCCAAAGTCCTTTTGGCATGTAAGTAACACAGCACATGACTGATACTACCTGTCTTTTTTTGCCACGCAACAACATGTTATTTGGAATGATAATATTACTCACAGACGGGACAAATTAATGGTTCACAGTGCAAATGAATTGAGTAGGAAAACCTACTTTTTCTGCCTCTTGAAAGGAAGATTTTCCTCTACACTGTCGCCAAGTGCTTGCTCATGGTGGAAACTGTTGGGTCTCTTGTAAATAAATGTATAAGCACTAAGGCCTATAGACCTGCTTTATTTGAGAAGTGTCCTTATATAAAGAGACCCATGTCCATGGTGCTACTCAAATTCTGGTGGAGATATACTGAGCCTGAAAATATTGGAAACCGCCAATAAAACATCCACTATGTGTTTGTTTTTTAAACTGCAAAATTTAAAAGAAAGAGGCTTGACTGTGATGATCTTGTAAAGCCAGCAGCCTAGCTAACTACACTGTAGAAACCTAATTTTGTAATTTTTATTTAGTACTCTAAAACAAAATATCTAGTAAAAAGTACTTAATCAGGAATGTTTCCTTAACTTACAAAGTCAGTAAGTTAGTGTCATATAAAATTACTAGTAAAAGCTGCTAAATAGAGAATTGTATTTAACTTTCTTTTCGTTTCTTAACTTTTTCGCTGCAATCCAGTTCAACAATTCTTTTGAGTTACAATAACTTACTGCATTACAGTGTAGCTGTTGTTGCTGGTGAGATGAACTCAGCAGACTAGTTAATATTTTTATTAGATTGCACTGAACTTCATAATGCTGTTTTTGGAGTGGACACATCACATTTTACAGCCAGCTATGTAACAAAAAAGAACTTTCGAAGAATGGGACGCTTAAATTAGCACACCCTTCTCTGTTTAATAAACGTACATACTGTAGTCTTTCTTCTCTGAGCTGATCAAATGCTGTTCTATAGGTTCAGTTTCTTGCTCTGTGGTACTTTGCCCTACATATCAAACATATCCAGGAGGAATGATTCTAACTTGTAATAAAAAGTGATTTATCTTAAAACTTTGTGTGTGTGAGGGGCATTTGATAAATGCTCTCATGTCTACCCAAACACAGATAAGCACATAATAATGACCTTCATTGAAGTGATTTAGATGTGAGGGCTGCTCTTTTGAAGACAACACTTCCTCGGGCATTTTAATATCCATATCCCTGCATTACCCACAGGCCATAAACCTGCACAGGGAGCAGAGGATGCCCCACAGATAGTCGCCGCATGTTGCTTTTTTTCTGTCAAAACATCCCATAGTCTGTTATAAATGACGCTTCACATTGGAAACACCTCTGCATCATACTTGGCAACCCAAGCCCCCCTCTGACCCTTTGATGCTTTGTTGTCAGAGGGAACAGGCGCCCTGGTTCAAACACAGCAGCCTCTCATTATGGACAACCTATAAATTACACTGCATGTACTCTACTGTACATGTGCTGAACACACACACAAACACACACACACACCTGTACTACTTGAGTGGACAACCCCCCCCCCTCGCTCAGTCCAATAAAACCAAGGGTTTAAGGGTAATCCGGGAGAATTATGGCTATCTGGAGGTGGTCTTAGTTCAATGCAATGAGTTGCCATGGTGATGCTCTCTCATTTGCAGACCCCTCCTCTATGGTATACACCCTTATTGATTATGGCCACCAGGTTATTAGGAACACTGTGTGTGTTATGCTGTTTTAGGCTATTCTAAACCTTCAGTGGGAATTATGCCACATCTAGCCTTTGGGTATACAAGATGTGCCAAATAATGGTGAACAAAACTGTGCATATGAACATATGTAATGATTTACAGCAACAAAGGCACACATCATTTTGAAAAGGATTGTAAGATAGCTAAGACAAATCTATTTCAAGCCAAAACTCAAAGGTTTGAATGAAATTCATCAATTCAAATGGTAATATTAGTTTATGATTTATATATGCTGCTCATTTACTCATGTACCTTCCTGAGCCTCTTAGGGGACACACAATTGAAAGAAAATGCTTTAAGAACAAAAGGCTGAGAGAAAATCTCTCTCCACATTTGTCCTCATCAACTGTTTTTGTATGTTTATGGATTTTATGTAGATAGTGATATATTAAAGAGCTAGGAGACAACTCATGCTTAAAACACCTTTAAAACTCCACAGGCACAGTTTGACTTTCTTTTATAAAACTAGTTTTCTCATATTCCTCCAGAGCCACAGAAGACCAACTGTTTTCACAGTAACCATGGTAAACTGGTAACTGCCCCTTCAGGGTTTTAGAATGTTCTCAAAGTATTTTCCCCATAAGACTGATCTTTGCGTGTTCTGCTCCTCAGCTCTTCCTAAGTTCCACACCCACCCTGCGTCCATGTCTGTGGACGAGGGAGGAGTCGCACGCTTCCAGTGTCAGATCAATGGGGTGCCCGAGGCCAACATTACCTGGGAGAGAGACAGAGTACCACTCAACACCACCGACAACAGGTAGCACCACACACAACACCATACAAACTTAACTGTTGACATGTGACTGCTACACACTGGTATTTTCCTCTCATTAGTATATAATTCTGCCTACATATGGTTGGACACACAGTACACACATCTGAGATTTAGTTGCTTGCGAGTGGTGACTACTTGTTTCACCACGAAAACTGAAATCAATTACAACTGACATGAGTTTGAACTGAACAGCTACCTTTCTAGCCTACATGTCATTGCAAGCTGCAAACTGCCCTTATCAGATAGTGTACATTAAAGTGCACTTGTACATCACAGTGTACATTCATCTGGCCACCTACTATAACCTACCCAAATACCTTGTGTGCTAGTTTGGGGTGTAACATTTATATACACACACACATTTGTTTAGCATATTTGTAACAGTTTCCAGTGGCTAACCTGCACCCTGACCTCCCCTTCCTGTCCAGATACACTCTCCTGCCGATGGGTATCCTCCAGGTGACAGGCGTGAGGCAGGCGGATGCTGGGGTTTTCCGCTGTGTCGCCACCAACATTGCCAACACTCGCTCCAGCCACGAGGCCACGCTCAACATCACCGGTAGGTGGACACACATGTAGCATGTAATATACTTGTAGCTAGAAAGAAAACTCTGTGGCGAGAACAACGGTTAGCTAGCTACATGCCTATATGTGTTATGGAATGTGTCCATTTACCTGTAGAGGTTCTCACTGCAGTACCTTTGCAGTTGTCCTTGTACAGCCCTCCTAACACTGCAGCATCAGCTTTTGATTTGATTACTTTAGACTTAACTTTACATAATCAAAAAATACTTTATTGGACTTGAGACTTGAAAATACTCGATACCTTGCCCCAAGTACAAAGATTTAAAACATATGTTAATTCAAAAGTAAAAAGTTAATAATTCCCAGCAAGTTGGCCAGCAATTCCCCAGCTCGTGATGTTGCAGTAGAGAACCATTAAGAACTAACGTTACTGAGCGCCAGTTGTAAAAAATTAGACTTACTTGTGACTTGCCAAACAATGAATAGGGCCCACCTCTGGTATTTTCATCCATATTTACCTTACCTTTATCTTCCTTTGTTCTTCCAGGTGGAGCTCCCAGAATCTACAAAGAGCCAGTCATCCTGTCAGGACCCCAGAACCTGACCATCACAGTCCATCAGACTGCCATCTTGGAGTGTATTGCCACAGGAAACCCAAGGCCTATCGTTTCCTGGAGCAGGCTAGGTACAACTGGTATCATTCTAATAGAGTCTATATGAAAGTAGGAGATTAGTTATTAACAGGTTTTAACTTTTGTTTCTCTCTGTATCTCTTTGTCTGTGCGTCCATCAGACGGCCGCTCCATAGGGGTGGAGGGCATCCAGGTTCTGGGGACAGGGAATCTGATGATCTCGGATGTCTCCCTGCAGCATTCCGGTGTGTACGTGTGTGCTGCCAATCGGCCCGGCACCAGAATGAGACGTACTGCACTCGGAAGACTCGTGGTACAAGGTGAGACCGTATGAAAAGTACTGCTGCTGGCCCGGTAGAGCTCCTCACTGGACACCAGTACTGGCTACTGGTTTTGTATCGATTAACAGTCTTTGGAAATACACATCTTTGCTATCATATCTATACTAGGAGAGGATAATCTCTCTGTGTCCAGTACAGACTAAAACTGCATTAGCACTAGAATGAATGCTGTTTTAAACCCCACTTTAAGGGTAAGGAATATGATTCTGGTGGATACTAATGCTAAATCTCTTTTGCATGCTAAAACTTGTTAAGTAACAAGATCAGAATGGGCCTTAAAATCCATCACAATTGTAACTGAAAGATGTAAACCTCATTATTAATCCCACATTTCCAGGGTAACAAGCTGCGTTTAGCCTAGCCTAGCTTAGCTCTGCCCCATACAGCTATGTCAAAAGTGACAATATGCACTTCCCCTGAGGGCTGCAGCTAATGATTATTTTCATTATCGATTCATCTGTGAATTATCTTTCATTTTCTCGATCAATCGAACAGTTTAAAACAGTTTTAAAAGATTAATTTAATAGTTGACAACTGATCAACTGACCATTGCAGCTCTGCTTCCAGCAACTCTAAAGATGTCTCGTTTACAAGTTGGTTAGTTGCTAGTTAAGTACTAGTTATTAATATTCACTGTAGTCTTTTAACCTGCCAACACCAGGACTTGAGAAATGCTATGCTCTGTCACTAAGTCATTCATATTTTTCCACAAAGCTAGGCTAGCATTTTAGCCTTGTTTCCATTCTTTGTGCTAAGCTAGGATAAATATGTCCTGGCCCTGTCTCTGTATCTCTGTACTGGACACACAGAGATGAAACTGATCTGAGACATCCCTGTCTGGGGAAGCTACTTCCAAAATGTTTGACTGTTCCTTTAATATAAAACACATCAATACAGTGCAGAAACTAAAGCTAAATGAGCTATAAACATACAGAAACGCTCATGTGACCGCTTTTGTTGACTGACCATCTGATACAGATCTCCAGCATTCATGAAGCCATTGTTGCAGCCTTTGTTTAATTACTTACTAGACCTCCATGATAGATCCTGTGTGTGTGTGTGTGTGTGTGTGTGTGTCCATATTAACTGGTGGTGAGGGGAGGGGGAAGGAGAGGGTCAATAGCAAAGCTCCACCCTTCCTTCTCACCTTTGCCCTTGGCTGTTTGGTGGGGGGTGGAGGCTGGAGCATGGACCCGCTGTATGGTGACACTATTGGTGTGATCCCTCCCCACCTCTACTACACATATGCACACCCCTTCCACTTCCTTTCTAACAATTAAGCACTGACACCAGTGTTCAGCTGGGTGTGTATGTGTGGGGGAGCAGAGGGCTCTCCATGACATGTACTCATCCATCACCCTACAGATGTCCATAGTCTCAGCCCGCTTATATTTTTCACTCGCTGTTCTTTAATTGGCTGTCCTGAGGCCAGCTGAATTAACAGCTCACCTCCCAGAGTGTTAGAGGATGCACAGAAACAAGTGGAGTGTGAAGTTGTTAATTACCAGGATATGTTTGGAGATGATGGAGGTGTAATTTCTATTTCACTGCATCTCAGGAGGAAATACTGTAGTTTTCACTCCACTATGTCACCACACTGAATCAACGATTGAGAAAATGATATAAATGGACATATATTCTCCATTTATAACATCAAACAATACATTGCACTTGAAATATAAACCAAAAAAAGAGCTGGAGCACATTTCATTAGATTTCTTGTAATCTCAGTGACATAAATCAATATGCATAGAATTCAGCTTTGCCCTCATCCATCCATCCATCCATCCCCTGTGTTCCTGTTTTGTCCGACTCTCTGACCGGATCAATCAATACTTTCCCCTGTCACTCTCTCACAGTGATTGGCAGTGCCTCTGGTGCAGGGGAGGGGAATTATATCTCTAATATATTCATTAATTTATTGATCAATTTGCTCTCTTTTTGGAGTTGAGAGAGGTTTTGGCTTTGGGCATCCTACAATGTGCTTGACAGAGCACCAAAGGTTGAGTTGAGAGTTGAAATGTGCTCATCATTCTGCAGCAGTGCATCCCAAATCAGACTATTACCCCAAAAACTGGGGTAGCAGAGAGCTGGGATTAGTTTTACTAACTGCTTAAATGACACTGGGTCATTGTAGGAAATACTGTGATGATATGATCTTGTTTAAACTGAGGATGTGTGTGACAGTGAGGAAAGCAGAAAGCTGTGCAATTCAGTACTCAGACTTCCCACACTGTGTTTGACACTGAAGTTAAACGTGTGGGCAGGGTTGGGAGGGTTACCTTAAAAATGTAATCCGATACAGTTACTTATTACCTCTTGGAAATGTAGTCAGTAACCTAATTAATTAATTCTAAGTCTCACAACAACCACAGGCTCATTTCACAAGCTCAAAATCATATTGACCATTGTTTGAGCCTATAGTTTTTCTTATTGTTCCTACAGTGTGCTGTTTGAATGCTGTCTGTGCAGAGTTTGACACTAGAAGAATGTTTTCACATTCGTCTGCTGAAAGTGGAAAGTTTCTCTGTGCTCTAAAATCTGATTTTAAGGTGCGGAGCCTACCAGCATGGTTTGTGATATAACAAATAGCTTGAAAGTAGCAATACTGCACATTCATAGATTCTGGAATTTACAATGAGATAGAAGGAGTAGATGACTTTTAAAGGATTTTAATGAGGAAATTATATTTTATCAGACACACATTCTTGTTCCAAGGTGATTTTTTGGACATTGTAATACATGTCTGCAGGGGATATTTCATTTTTGCAAATACAGTGCCCAAGTTAGATGATAGTAAATTGTCTCCTCTGTCTCTGGTCATCATTTGTGACAGTCAGATCCTCCACTAGTGACTCACAGCTGAAGTCAAGTTCAGTGAGGCTGGCTGCTGTTTGTGTTTGTAGTGCAAAGGCTGGCAGAGGTCACAACTTTCACACAGTCTCCACGGTCATGGTCAGGGCCAAGGGACAAAGAGGACAACAGACGGAGAGACAAAAAGTGGAGGACAAGTAGACGGTCAATGCTGGATGCAAGGTGCAGTGGGGGAGGGAGTGTGCGAGGGGAAGGGAATAGGCGGATTGAGGAATGACCCTTGAACCCTGACCTCGACAGAAGGATTCAGGGCGCATAGAAACGGTTGGAACGGACAGATAGGGAGGTGGAGGGAAAGAGGAGGTGTGGTCTCTGGGTTCATTAGGGAGGGCTGGAAGATGGATAGCATCCCAGTGGAGGGGTGAGGGCAACCAGGGTGTCACCACGTAGAGGGAGACACAAAGGATGGCCAGCCATATTGGAGGAGGTGCGCTGAATATGCCTGTCCCTCCCTCCCTCCATTCCTTCCTCCTCATGTTTGTCCACGTTTTGTCCGAGGGCTTCAGCTTACTTCTCACATTTTATATGAACATCAGCACCAAAATCTTACGCTCACTGAGGAGATGAAGTGTCACAGACTGGTAACTTCTTGCCCAAATGTGTTGACAGATATGGCATATGCATATTAGGTTATTTACTGCAGGCATCCAACCCAAGTAACTTAGGTTGACCCAACAGAATTGCTTAATCCTAATTTGTTCTTGTTGGACCTACATGGGTTGATTTCATTCATCTAAATTTTCTTTTTATCATATCCAACAAACATGATTCAATCATTTAATTAACACAAAAACAATAGTCTTATTTCATAGCAAAGCATATTAAGACCATAATTCATGTACTTCCTTACTCACTATCAATAAGCAGTAATTGGGAGGTTGTTGAGAGAATGGTCTTAGTTAATGGCCTAGTAGCTGTAGAACATGGTCATGCAGAATAAGGCATTAATAATATAATGACTAATAAAGAGCCAATATGCATATATTAATCCTAAGCAACTATTTAACAGCGAATATGTGTACCTTAATATCAAGAGTTACCATATCAATATAATTGATTTAATATAGCGCTTTAAAAGGTGCTGAGAGTCACTTTACATGGTAATGGAAATATCAGCATCAGGATTTTACTGATTTCAGCAATTCTCTCAACTGCTCATAAACTGCACTCTTTAGGATACAATGAAGTACCTACTAATCAAATTTCCTGATTCTTTCCCAAAAAAACCTAAATAAAGTTGTCGCAATGCCGTCTATCTATCTGTCTAGAACTGGTGGAGGTTATATTGTTAGTATTTAAACACTGCTCATGCACCAAAATATAAAGTTTACAGATTGTTTTTATGAGGAAAATGTAAAATATAAATCTAATGTGCCCAGGGCCTGTCCAAGCAGTTGACAGATGTAGCCCCCCCCCCCAAACAAGCGGCAAACAATAGGGGCGGAAGGTAATAAGACGAGGTGCAGGCGCGGTGAAACTCAAGGTCAACAGAATCACTGATCGATACAGGGTATCGATCCACTGATGAATGGTCAGCTGAGGACGCCTGACACTTTCTAACGGGACAACTGAGCAGATGAAGGGGTGGACAGCTATCACACCCCCCCCCGAGAGATAATATCCACACACACAAAGAGAGAGCGAGAGAGCACAGCCTGATGTACAATGTAACAATGGAGGAAGTTGAACTTGATTTTTTATCAAATATGTTGCTGTTTTTGCACATTTTAATCCCATTTACTATGAGACATGCTGCAGTGCTTTACACAAACGTGTGTCCACTTATTTTAATGTGTCATGAAAATCAACTTTGGGAGATTTTGGTACATAAGCCATAACAGTCAAACCAGCCTGCTTTTAAAACTGCATCACATATCATACCACGGCCACCAAAAGCACTATTCCTATCAGATTTGATCGGCCCACAGCCGGTCATTGAATCAAACTGTTTTGAAATAAACTAGTAGGGAAACTTCAATCATTAAGTTTTACAACAACAGTTCACTCATTTAGTGAAGACACTTGCCTTGAAATTATGCGTTATCTCAGTGAAGACACTTGCCTTGAAATTATGCGTTATCTCAGTTCTCAAGGATAATGATCTCATCGTTTTACAGTGTACACATCCAGATAACTTCCTGCTTCTCGAGCAACGTTTCTGCACATACTTTTATTGAACAGTAAGGATTAGCTGTGGTGAATGCAGCATAAACACACACAGGAATCAGTAACATTCCTGCAGTTATTATTATGTATTGAATATAATATGGAAATGTGACACTTCAGTCAGTGAGTTTACTCAATGATAGAAAAGGGGTCCCTTAAGGAAAAAGGTTTGGAACTACTGATGTAAGCTACTAATACATAAACTGGACTTCCTGTCCCTGCCTCTAGGTCGCACTGTTTCTGCTCTCCAGAAATCTAAGTGGTCTGACTGACAGGAGAAAGACAGATCCCCACTCGCAGTGATGAATGTGGCCTTATTGAAATGGTCATTTAGTTGACACATCCCCCTCAGCCTATAGGTGGATGGTTGGGGGGTTAAGGGGGTTGGGGGGTCACAGTGGGTGTTGAGGTCAATAGATCAATGAGATGCTGAGCGTGGGTTGAAGTTGGGGGGCTTTAGGGCTTAAGGAGCAGTGCCTATATCCAAGCATACTATATATGCATGTCTATTGTGCCTCTGATATTGAACTGGGTGTCAGGAGGAGCAGTCAACCCTGCATCTGTCCAGTGTCTGTGTGTGTTGTAAAGGGACCTGACTATACTCTGGGGTTTGAAGAGACACCCTTGACATGTGAAGTTCAAGCACAAACTAGTAGCAGTAACACTGTTATCACCAATTTAAAGCTGCAGTTGGTAATTTTTGTAAAATTGGGGATTTATTGAGACCGATACTGATTTTAGAGGGGAAAATAGACCTCTTCTATGTGGACTGTGCTCCGATATGACTCTGCAAAGGTACACAGAACGCTGCTTTCTTAAACAAATAACTTTATTATAGAATATTTAGTTAAATAATTTAAGTGATTCAACATAAAAATTGTCAACCAATTCTAGTTAACGTTGCTGTTAGCTGCTTCTTCTCTCTTACTGTGTGCTGCTTGCCACAGTGTTGTAAATCACAGCGCACTCTGCTGGATGTACTTTGTATTGACACTATAAGCATTTATTATGCATTATATACCAAAACTATTTTCATGTAAGTACATATCGTATCGCAGCATTTACACTGATTCAATACTGATATGTCTGCGATGGCCACTATTAGCTAATAATATCAGTTGACCAATGTATTGCTCTACCTGTTGCAGTTGTAAAAAACAATGCATTTTCTTACCATTACAGTTGAATCTGTGGTTGCTTGCATTACTTTTGTGCTCCCTCTGAATCACTTTTGTGTTACCACGTAGTACACTTTCTGATTCATGTCTGCGCACATTACATTGCTGAACACCCAGAGCTACTGTATCCATTAAAGATTTCGCATGCTTTTTTTGGGATTGCTGTAGCCTGAAATGACTGATTACGGAATAGGTTTTCTAAAAAACTATGATGCATGTTGCAATATATTTTTTGCATTGAAATTGTGGGAGAAAGTGAATATTGCAAAAATAGCTATGATTTTTTTATAATGCATTAAAAATCAATGGCTTCAAGTTTCTCTTTGACATTAGAGTTTCAGGTCTCAGTGCCTATAGCTGTTATCAAGGGCTGCTGTAAAAGCAGGCTGTGAGGGGTTCAGGAGGGTTTATGGGGAATATGAGTCTGTTATGACCTTTATTATTTTTATTGTCTGTCCCTAGTCTCATATCCCTCTCTCTCCATTCCTCCTCAGCTCCTCCTGAGTTCCTACAGTGGCCGCAGTCTGTGTCCAAACCAGCAGGCGGCAGTGCTGTGTTCACCTGTGTGGCGCAGGGAGTCCCCGAACCTCACCTCATCTGGCTGAAGAATGGCAAGGTCCTGATGCCTGGGCACAACGTCAAGCTGACCAATAACAACAGGTTGGTGATGATTTACAGCTCTGTGCTCACAGTTTGGCACACAGTTGATCTTTAAAATGCACTATGAGACATTTAAGCAAATACTGTTAAAAGAAAAAGCCTGATTCAACATGAGCAATTCAGTGTGATCCTGATCGGCCAGTTACTGATCAGTTCCTTATGGAGCCTGCAAAAGGAGATAAATGTGATTTTTACCATGAAAAACATTTACCTAGACTTTTAGAGAATACTGTCCTATGGCTAGTTCAGGCATAAAAAGAACATTACAAACATCTGAGGAATGTATGCTGACTACAAAATCAAATGCTACAAAGTCAAATACAGTGATGTCATGACAGTGTTACTGAAAGCAGCCAAAATGTAGATGTCAGTTATACACAGATATTTAAAGAAAAAAGAAAAGGCACAGGCCATAGTGACGGTTTGAAAAGCAGGCAGCAGATACGACAAGCAGTAAGAGAGACAAGATGAAACAACAAAGCAATGGGACAAGACACGTGTATCACAGAGGTCTGGCATGGGACTGGCTTATCTCAGAGGTCTAGGATCTGAAAATGTGGGAAGGTTTCCTCTATAGCAGTATTCTCAGATGCAGGTTTTGGTTTTCTATGAAAAGCCCAATCTGTGTCACCTCAGATATACAAGAGGCAAGAGAACATTTTTAGCCCTGCAGTTAACCAATGGACCACAGGGTGGGAGCACTGCACAGAGAGTGTGGAGGTACTGAGCCTGTTAGACCCTGATCAGTGTGGTCTGTGATTGAACAATGGCATACAATCAAATTTCATTCATCTATTGAAATATTAAATAGTGTCTATACTGTATATGTATGAATTATAACATGTTTGCATTTATATAATTGAAATATACTGTATAGCTGCGATGTGTTCAACTTTCAAACATTCACTGTTCAGTTCAATGTTTTGGTGCTGAGTGTTTTGATTATTAAAGCTGCAGTAGGTAACTTTTATAAATAGAAAATGTTGTCATGTGTTCTGACAGTAGGGCAAAAAAGAAATCTGGTTCCTCTGGCTCCTCCTAGTGCTCCTAATGGTATTTGCAAGAACCCACCAGGCCTGAAAGAAAACAACCAATCAGAGCTGAGAAAGAAAGAAAGACTCTTTGGATTGGACGCTTGTTGATTTTTGAGTCTCATTCAAGTGTCTGTATTTGATGCCTCGGGTTTATTTATCTGGCTCTCCATACACATATATGTATATAGCAGTATATAAAGTATACATTGTGGTATATACAGTATGTACTGTGGTGTCTTTAGATGTGACTAGCAATGAACTGATGCAGCTGTGTTGTCTGTGCAGCACTCTGGCTCTGACCCGTATCAGCTCGGAGGATGAGGCCATCTACCAGTGCATCGCCGAGAACAGTGCCGGCACCAACCAAGCCAGTGCCCGCCTCGCCGTGGCCCAGGCTAAAGATCTGCCCGCTGCCCCTGAGGGCCTTGCAGCCAGTGCGCTGTCCACCAACGCCCTGCAGATCACATGGAGCGAACCACCCACCAACGTCACCGACAGCATCATCGGATACGTCCTGCACATCCGCAAGATTGGAGGTGAGTATCAGCAAGTTGTAGGTGAACTTCAAATTAGATGATGTTATAGTGATAGCTAAATCTAAATTCCCGTGTGTTTTTGTGTGTGTGTGTGTGATTCAGAGCCCGACAGTCTGGAGCTGCAGGAAGCCATCAGTAAAGGCACCTTCCAGCATGATGTGAGCAACCTGGAACCAGCAACCACCTACTCCCTCTACCTGAAGGCCTACTCTCCTCTTGGAGCTAGCCAGCAGTCCCACACTGTGGTGGCTACAACACTAGGGGGCGGTAAGAACGTGAAAGACTGACAAAAACCAACTCCTGCCCTGTCTCCTGATTCATTTTTTATTAAAAATATTTTATATCACAGTGAATGATATTGGCCATTGTCTAAAAGATAAGAGAATATCAGTGAAAATAGCTTAAAAAAGTTAAAAGATTCTTGTTTTTATGTCTTAATACATGTCTGGAGGTAATCTTTAAATATGAGATGCTGGACAGTAGTGGTTTAGTTAGTGTAGTACACACCTAAATCCGCTTCCTGTCAGCTGCTGCACTGGCCACATTTTGCAACCTGCTCTCTTCACCTCCTTAGAGGACAGTCAGTGCTTGTTTTCTAATCTTGTCTAATCTATATTTTTCTGTCCTCGCTCTCCCTGCAGTGCCAACACCTCCCACCTTCTTCACCAAGGTGATGAACTCCAGCGCCGTGCAGGTCCTCTGGGAGCTCCCCGCTAAGGCCGGCAAGGCTGAGGGCTTCAGGCTGTCCTATCGCAGGGTCCCCCATGCTGCCTTCCAGGGACCGATCCAGCTGCCCTGTCTCGTCAATGCCCACACCATCACTAAGCTGGGTGTGTGTGTGTGTGTGTGTGTGTGTGTGTGTGTGTGTGTGTGTGTGTGTGTGTGTGTGTGCGCAAGAGTGCATGTGTGAGTGCCCTTACCAAGAAGAGTTCTTCCACTCATTGTCTCCGTGACCAGCCAGCAGCATCCATCTCTTCCCCATGTTTGTTTAAACAGCAACGCCTCCAGACTCAATACCTGTAACCATAACAACACACTCATCTCGGTCACCTGCAAAATAATGATTGAATTGAGTGCAGTGGCAACCTCACAAATAGAATTGAGACACAAGACATGAATTGAGACACAAGACACAGAGTCATTTGATTCCATTTCAATGAACAGTAACACCTCTCTGAAAGAGCAAAATCTGCCTCACTGACTGTTGATTATTTGGTGCGCAGTAACAGTCCCCTCTTTCTTCTGCTCCCATATAGAGAATTATCCAGTTTGTCGGGTGTATAATTATCCAAAGGGCTGTCTCTCTTTGCTAATCTGTCCATCAGTACAAGTACACTACAAGTAGTTTCCTAGAAAGTTGTAAATTATAACTGTAAATCCAGACAGCATTTAAAATTATTTTTTGTCATGTGTTCTGACAGTACTGCAAAAAAAATCAGGTTCCTCTGGCTCCTAGTGCTCCTTATAGTATTTGTAAGAGTCCACTGGGCCGAATGAAAATAACCAATCACAGTCAAGGAAGATATAACGAAGCTTTGGGTTGGAAGCTTGAAGATAGTTGATTGTTGAGTCAAATACAGACGCTTTGGCACCCTGGGAATGAGACTCAACCATTGACTAGCCATCGTCAGCAGCAAACTGTTCTCCAATACTCAGAATCCGTCATTTAAATAGCAATGCGCTAGGTGAATGCACAGCTGGCTTTAAAAGGGAATGGGAGATGATACTCATTTCATTCGTTTCATTCATGTTATGCCTAAAACACATCTATGATTAATTAAAAGATTAAATACCACAATAAATTTAACTAGCAAAAGTGGATTTGGACATGCCCTAACTGCACTTTAGACTATGCGCTACAGATTGTTGAAATAGAACCCTACGTCTCAATTTTCCATAAAAACAGTGCCAAATTAGAGTTCTTTCAATTTCCTAAAAGATTTGGAAACTAGAGCTGTTCTACCTTTTACTTGTGACATGATGACATCATTTAATTTCTTAATTTAAAGTAAACTCTGTAACAATCATGAAAATTTTAAACAGCCATATCTGATCATGAGGGAATATGTGTCCCTGTAAGGCTGTTAGTACAGATATAGGCTGAATGCTATAACTAGGTTATTGACAGATGAATGAGCCTACAGATGTACCCACAATGAGTCTGTGTCTGTCAGCCTTTGCTCCTTAAAGCGTCTTTAACAGCTGCTGTCCACACTTTCACTATGTGGGAATTTACTGAGCATGCATTGATTTTCACAGCAGAAGTGCCACTGATCGATTATCAGTCAGTGATAATCATGTCTGATGCAGCAGTGTGTCGCATGTTAATTATCATCATGTGACAGTGCTGGATGTGACTCAAAGTGTGTCTCACCATCACCACAGACAGCATACACTTACTTTAAGAAAAGGATGCCAAAGGCCGTTTGTGTTGACTGGGTCTGTGGTACTTACTTATTGAGTCAGTTAAATTCACAGCATGAAAAACAATCACAAGCAGCCTAAAATGGATAGTTTGTTTAATGGGAGACTGTAAGAGGAGTTATATGCAGAAAGAAGACCAATATATGATGTGGCATCACACACAGTTAGGTTTTACGCGATTGGTCTTGGTTTCTACAGGTGTGTGCACTTCGCTGCACCACCAATACAATAACCAGTGTGAAGTATGAAAGAGTAACGGAGTATGAATAAAGGTCTGGTGTGTAACATTTAGGAGGCTCTATTGACAGAAATGGAATATAATATTCATAACTGTTTTCATAGAAATCATATATATATATTACCTTAGAATTAGCCTTTTAAATCTACAGACGCTATGTGTTGCATTCTATGCAGTCTGCCATGTTTCCACAGTAGCCCAGAATGGACAAACCAAACTCTGGCTCTAGATAGGGTAGGATTTTTTTGCACTAGCAAGGGGAGGGTGAAGCAAGCGAATTGCGATCTGTAGTTACACCAGTAGATGCCACTAAATCCTACCTACACACTCGACCGACACATCCTCAGCAGAGACACAAATCATTCCACTTTAAAAACCTGACTGACTCTGTGTGGGGCCCTCCGTTTCAGAACCGGGTGCTGTCTATGAAGTCAAACTGGTGGCCTACAATGGAAACGGGGAGAGTGACTGCTCCAAGAGACTGGTATCACTGGCAGAGGAGGGCGTGAGTGACCCGGCCACTGGTGAGTATGATCACAGATTGGGTCCTGAAAGCGACTCCTCTGATTGCACCTATGAATGAACAGTGGTTGTAAACATCTTCTGATCTTGCTTAAAATGAATAATGAAATAAATTAAAGAACAGCATTTCTGGAAATACATATATACAAAAAACATTACACAAGTGAAGGATAGGGAACCTAATTTAGTTCATATATTCATAGAAGATATGGTAAATTGGACTGTACTTAAATGGTAAATGGTAAATGGACCTGTACTAATATATCGCCTTCCTAGTCTTTTGACCACTCAATGCGCTGTACAGCTCTTCTTCTCCAGATAACAAAATAAATTAACTTGTGATCTCGAGATAACAGCATTTTTTGTTTTTTTAAACCTGTTGCATGCACGGCTGTTCTTGACTTCTATAATAAGATACAAAACTCCAAAAATGATTTGACAGTCCGTATCAGAGAAAATGGGATTGGGAAAGACATTCAGGCCTAGACATATCTAAGAAAGATTATCATAATATACGGGTCAGACTGAGGCAAACTCCAGCTTCTGGTGAGACTGTTGTTGGACAAAATCTGATATTTTGTGACTCCAAAGTAGAAAAAAAGAACAGAATTAGAGACTGCTGGAGGTGGTGTGGTAAAAATCTATTATATCTATCTTTTGTCACATTATAAGTGGGCAAAATCCCAAATAAATGTCTTTAAAGCTCCTTTGGCTGCTATAAGAACACTCTCAAACTGAAATGGCTGCAGGCAGGCCTCCACACAAGGACCACCGAATGCAACTGTGAAATTAAGTGTCTAACCTTTGACTTTGGACTATGAGATCAGCAATGTGTAAAATACCACCAAATGCTAACTTTGGCTGAAGCTCAGCTTTTTTCCATCATGAGTATGTTCCTCATTAGCGCTGTGTGTTTCCAGGAGGGAACAGTCTGTGTCAGTGCAGGGATGGAGAGGCCTCTCTGGGCAGCATTGTCATCGGCATCCATATTGGCACCGCCTGCATCATCTTCTGTGTTCTCTTCCTCATGTTTGGATACCGTCGTAGGTAAGTGCAAACACACTGTACATGCTTTGTACTAGTATATTATATACACTGTCAGTAATTCTTGTTAAATTATAATGCAATCAATTATCTATTAGGTTTACTGACCAAGAGTGAATAACCATGAATTGTTAGCTATGTAAATGTAAACTAATATACAATCTGTGCTCATAGCTGGAACCTGTTTACAGTCTGTTTTGCAGTAAAGGGACTCAGGACAGCTGGTCTGTACCGAGGGACAACACAGAACACAATGGCATCCCTAAGGATGGAGGAAACCACCCCAGAGTGGAACCAGTGCCTCAGGTAGTCACTCAGAATATGCCAGTCAAAGCTTTTTCTACTTTACTTAACCATTTGATTTATTAAGTACATTTTTAAGTATTTGTAGGGTCTAGAAACAAAACATTGCATTTAATTACAAGTGAAGTGTTTCTTTGGCTCAGAAGTAATCTAGTGCAGGGGTTTTCAAAGTCTGAGACTGATCTGGGCCTCCCCTCAGACATAGCTTGGAAAAAGGCGGCCCCTTACTTTACTTGCATAGTATCGCTCAATTCCTCGATGCCTATGGGATTATGATTCTTTTATAATGACAATTGAGCCAACACAGTCTAATATTGCTGACAACACCAAATACATAGAATATGATGACATGCAATGATGAATTGCTTATAATTACTCATATATCATTGTCACCAGGCTTGCTCATTAGCTTAAAAGCTCACTAGACAGTTGTGCTAGTATGAATTGGAAGATCAGCAGGGATAACTAGCTAAAACAGAAAACTTAGTAGTAAAATATCACATGTTTTAGGTAGTTACAAGAATAGTGCCATACTGGACCTCAGTCTATAGTACAGAAATGCTGCTTTTGGCTCAATAACAAAGATCAAACTTCCAGGCAACAGCTTAAGATCCCAGTGTGTGCACTCCATAAAATACAATGTTTGTAACTAAAATCACAATTAACAGTCCTCACAGTTTTAGATGTGGATGACCTTTTAGATAAACAGATCAAAATCACTGCTAATGATGGACATCTGTTCTTGTTCTGTTTGTACATTTGGTCAAAACAAGTCCATCTAGAACTGCAGTCAGCATCTGTCACATGTAAGACTCGTTGAAGAACAGCAGCTGCCAGTGTTTGGTATTACATCCATCCATCATTTTTGTCTTGACAAATATTGACTCACTGAAGTATTGGATGACGTCTGATGCTGTTATTCATCCATCTGTCATATGACACAATGTAATGACAACATGTAATGAACTTTTTTGTGGCCATTTGTGACAGAAATTCAGGGCCTACAAGATAGCTAAGAAATAATGGCCAAAACCACAAACAATTAGACTGAAAAAGAACAAACTGAAATGTCTCTCTAGGGAATTCTCAAATGGAGTTTGCAGAAAAAGAAAAAAGAAAAAGAAAAAGTGTATATTATATTGTAAATAAAAAGTAAAACTATTTTTAATCTCTCAACACTGTAATGATGACATAGTGGAAGACCATGCGTGACTGTGGTACCCTGTTTGTGCTTGTCAACTTGTCAAATATTTCCGTACTTGACTGATATGATTTGTTCTCTTTCTTCTCTCTTGTCTCCTTTCTGTCCTGCTGTTGTGACTTCCTGTGAGCAGGCGGTCGGTCCAGCGCAGTGCCAGGTTGTCATTGAGCAGCACATGGCAGGTTTGCCTGGCACGGGCAATGGCTAATACTGGTCAAAATTATCAACACCCACATTCCTGTCCTCCCCTCCAACAGTCTGCTACTCAAGTAGGAACCCCTTAGCCTCCCATCAATGAGCACCTTCCATGCTCTTTGATAGGGGTAAGTCATAGGTTTAGTCTCCCCAAAACCTGCTGCTAATAACCTGAAAGTAACCTACACAAATCTGGTCCCTTGCCACCCCAACCCGATCCTCCACCCTTACCTCAAACCAAAGCTTACTGCCTTTATTGCCTGTGCACATGCACATGTGCATGTAGTCAAAGCCGTCAAAAAGCATTGCCACTGCAGATTAGGTCCTGTCACATTCTTTTTGTGTGTACACCACAAACACATGTCATTTTTCCAGAGGGAGTCTGTTCCATAACCAAAATATTGTATTCCTTAGACCTCCTCTGGTAAGCTGACATGTGAAGATGTGTACTATGGTCTTAAAACCCAAATGAAGCCAAATATTCTCACACAACTGGAACATTCCAGTTAGTCTGTTGTGACAGAACTCTTGACTTTGCCTTCAGTTCCTCTGCAATAAGAAAGGAAAGAAACATAGCGGCCTTTGTGAAAGCCTTATGGAGGTGAGAGTCTGACTAGAAATGATTGTCTATAAGCCATACAAGCCATTTAGAAGAACCATGCAAACATTACTCAACTCAACCTCACCCAAAAGCTGCACACCTCCAAAGAAAGCTACCTCAGTCTGACAAGAATGTCTGAGCCATAGTTGGGCCAATATTAGCCTGATGATGCTGCTTGTGCTAGCCTACCTCAACCAAAAAACATCCCGAATCCCTTTCCCTTGAGCCACTACTTCCCCGACCAGTGCCAGTGCCAGTGTACCGTGCCAGCCGCCAACCAGGCCAGTCCAGAGAGTGCTCAGCAGGATGACTACCATGGAGAGCGTAACCGTGGCAGAGCCTGAATTCCACTGCCACAAGCCTAAGCCTTACTGTACCGGAGATCGACAAGAGCCTTAACAGCCGCCTCTTCAAGCCAGGTCACCTTTTGTTTATGTCCAATTTTGGCGGAAATCTTCAACGATTCTGATCTCAAGAAGGCCATGTAGTGTTGCCTCCTTGGTTGTTCTTTCTCCATTATGTGGATATCCACAGCTTTCAGATATCCGCAAGAGCCCATCTCCAAAGACATATTTGTGCAGAAGATGTAGCTCATGGAAAATATGGACCTCAAAGAGCGCTTTGTGAACCTTTCAAGCCATGCATTCAATTTTTTTCTATGAAGTCTATCAGGAAGAACATGTTCACAACTAACAGGTTGTTTGTTTGAGCCACACAAACCTGATGGCATACTGAAGATAAGCCAAAAAATGACTGAGGCCACGCTGCCGAGTTAACTGTCCAGATGCCAAATTGGTCGCCCTGGGACCTCGACGACACTGAGTTGGCGGCTAAAGAAGTTTTAAGGGGATACTTGCCTGAACGCACGGATGAGGCTTGTGTTTTGCCATGTCAGCCTATCCAAAAAGTTCTTCCCTAAAAACCAAGCTGAATGATACCCAAAGATGTAAACATTTTGATGGTTTTCTTTATTTTCCTTTAAAAGAGAGATTACATTTACTTACAATTTTGGATTGTTCCCGTTTGAAAGGGGTCACCTGTGTGTAAAGTGCTTTAACTGAACCCAAGCCAAAAACATTTTTCTCATGATTTCGTTACCATTTTTTTAAATGATATCTTTCATGTCCTTTAGTTTGGAAGTCATTGCAGGTGCATCCCTTGAACGTTGAACTCTATTTTTGTTGATTCTAACATTTAAAAGTGACCAAATGAAGATGTCAGATATTTTGAAAGACTTTTTATGTCAATATTATAAGGGATACTATCTTCCTTTTTTAAAGTAGTTGAATCCTTGCCAAATATTTAGCTATTGTAAAGAAATATGTAACCAAATACCTCTACATTTTTAACATTCATACTTTACCTTTACAGTTCCTCATAACCAAAGCACAGAAACATGCTTGTGAGTGCGATAATATACGTGTGTGAATGGCTAACAGTGGGTGAACCTTGAGGGCAGCTGCTTTGAGAAGGAACCACACTTTTAGATTCAAAGTTGCCTTCGACCCAAGTTGTTTATACTTTGGTCCCCAAAGATTCAATACATTCTTTTTTCTTTTAAAAGGAAAATATTTTTTTATTTAATTAAATGATCTGCACAACGAGACTCTAATAATAAATAAATTACCTAATGTCTGCTTTTTTTATCTACAAACAAAGACACATATCTTATGTTTCAACTTGGCTTCATCCAACAAGGAACAGTGCACTGCTAACATTAGTTTGCAGCCTAGATAGTTGTAGCTATAGAGCATTAAACAGATAAACATCACTTGCAAATGTCAACAACAGTTAGTTTAGATGCTAAATAATGTGATCCTTGTTATTCACCACTGCTTACAAAACACTGCCTGTCTGTGGCTTATATAAACTAATAAAAATTACAGTTTGCTCAATCTTAGATTGTTAGTGAGTGCGGTCAAACACTTACACCAGCCCAACCACTCTTTTATCACTTTTCAGTAATAAAAAAGTAACAATTTATTTAAAAACACTCCGACATTGTAATTTCAGATGGATTTAAAAAAGGTTTCCCAACTGAAACATGATAAAATGCTTTAAACCAGGGTTTTAACCATGGCATTGCATCTTATGACTGAAGAAACCCATATATTATTGACCAAAAGTGTGTGTTGCCTCAAGCTTTAATGTTCCTCAAGGTTTACTATGACCCTTTGTTAGTGTTAAAGGTTTATTCAAAGCAGAGCAATATAAAAAATAAGTGCTTTCCCCCTCGTCTTCTTTCTTACACAACTGAGAGCTGTTAAACCAACGCGATACCAAAAAGTGTATTTGATATGGAAGACCTAAAAAGTCAATGTGTTTTTGTAGCGTAAAGTGTGTAGTGGTTAAACTAGTTTTTGAAATGGAAAGCGTTTGTTGCTTCTGTTTGGAATAATTCATTTGTCTGCCTCTTTTCATTTGAGTCTTTCGTTCTTCCTGCTGTGCACAGGAAAAGTTGCCAAAAGAAATGTTTGCTTTGTTTGAAAGTTTATTATTGTTATTATTATTAGAGCTCAACATTAATTATGATAATTTCAAATGTTTTCCTTTTTTTGACATGTGTAAGGATGATATGAAAATTATTGTTAGGGTTACTTTGTGATGGTCTTTGCGCATGTGATGTGAGTTTTTCCAGAGATTTTCGAAGCCAAACTCACATTCTGCCCCGAAGAGCCAGCGACTAGAAGAAAGAGAACTACAACAAAAAGAAGAAAAAAATTGTAGGAAAGTAGAAGCTGGCTGCTAGTACCAATGAGAAACAATGCTTTAATGATTATAAGTGCTTCTCTGTTTGCTAAGCTCTCCACTATGTATTGTTGCCAACTGAAAACCTAAAGCTTTAACCTGTTGTGACTGAGGTCCCGTCCTTGGTCTTTGGCCAAAATGAAAAGGTGTGGAGGTAAAGGACTGACTGTAGATAGGCTGCAGTCGGAAACAGAGACCAAGTTGTGACTAGGAACGTTTTTAAAGTACATTTATTTTACATTTTAATGGAATATGTTCACAGAAACTTTCACTATATCCTGACAGTAGAACATGAGACAGATAATCTGTGAAAAAATCAGGTTCCTCTGGCTCCTCCTAGTGCTCCTAATGGATGAAATGAACAAAAACAACCAATGAGAGCTGAGAAAGATGGAAAGACACTTTGGGCTGGTGGCTTGAAGATAGTTGACTGTTGAGTCTCATTCCCAGTGTCAATAGTTGATGACCTGGGAATGAGACTCGACAATCAAGTATGTTTCTTACCTCTGATTGGTTGTTTTCACGAGGCTCTGTGGATTCTTGCAAATGCCGTTAGGAGCACTAGGAGGACCCACAGGAACCTGATTTTATCACATATTATCCGTCTCATGTACTACTGTCAGGATATAGTGAAAAAAGTCTGACTTAAAGTTACCTACTGCAACCTTAAAGTGGGACTATTTGACTTTTTAGGAAGTAATAACAATTTTTCACATTGCAGATGAATACATAAGGAATAAACCCCACCGTACACATTTGCTGCTACATTCTTACTTGGCCTGGTATGACCAATAGTTTATGGTGGCTAACTGTTAGATACATATTCCTGTGTTAGTGACATTACTTGTCCTTCTATTATACTATGTTGGAGCTTTTTATCCCATAGCAAAGGTCACATAGACTCACTTTAATGCATTAACTTTTTTTTGTGTGTGATTTATTTGAACTGACCCTTTAATGTTATTTATTTATTTATTTAGCCTGCAGGCTCCTTTTGTAAGTCTTTAAGCTGTGAGGGTAATAACAAAACAACACCATCACTTTGTCATAGAAACTGTGGCACTCACATAAAAAAAAAATCCTGATGATTCGCATATTTATAGTCAGTTTGTGTCCTAATAATAAGAGTCCATAACCTACACCTCTTTTAAGCAATATTGTTTCTGTTCATAGCTAAATATGGACCAAATTACTCAGTAAAATGTATGTTAATGTCCCTATAAAAAACATCACTTTAGAGGAAAATAAAATACATAAAGTGAAAAATGTTAGTATTGGAAGACATGATTATTAAAGTGTGATAGTTTAAATTAGGGAATATTTAAGAGAAGAGCTAAAAGAATCTGCTAACGGTGATAGCAGCATTTTCAACTCCCTAATTCCTACTAAACAGCTTGGTCTCTGTGGGGCTGCAGACTGCTCTATGTGAATGTCTGGACTGACCTCTGCTTTTTCTCCATTCCTTCATCACATTCCAATATGCCTAAAACCAAATAAAGACATTTCTTGAATTAATATTTCTCCATCTTTTTTGCTTTTGTTAGCATTCAATTGATTAGCTCACTTAGCCCTGCTACACTCAAAATCTGTGTAGGTGAACCCATGTCTTATCTAGGGTGTGCTGGGAATGGGATCCCTTGAATTGAATAGATAGATTGCATACAGTGCTTTCATTAGCCAGCCCAGTATTGGCATTCTGTTTGAGCGAGGCCTACTTATGACACAATTGATGTATCTTGGGATCAGCTGACATGACATACAGTAGGTCTGGTACTTAGACCCCAAATGAGCTGTCATGCTTGGTTGTAACTAGGGATGCTCGATATATACGGTTCAAACGTTTGGGGTCACCCAGACAATTTCATGTTTTCCATGAAAACTCCCACTTTTATTCATCAAATGAGTTGCAAAATGAGAGGAAATATAGTCAAGACATTGACGAGGTTAGAAATAATGATTTTTATTTGAAATAATAATTTTGTCCTTCAAACTTTGCTTTCGTCAAAGAATTCTCCATTTGCAGCAATTACAGCCTTGCAGACCTTTGGCATTCTAGCTGTCAATTTGTTGAGGTAATCTGAAGAGATTTTGCCCCACGCTTCCTGAAGCACCTCCCACAAGTTGGATTGGCTTGATGGGCACTTCTTACGTACCAAACGGTCAAGCTGCTCCCACAACAGCTCAGTAGGGTTGAGAACTGGTGACTGCGCTGGCCACTCCGTTACAGACAGAATACCAGCTGACTGCTTCTTCCCTAAATAGTTCTTGCATAGTTTGGAGGTATGCTTTGGGTCATTGTCCTGTTGTATGAGGAAATTGGCTCCAGTCAAGCGCGGTCCACAGGGTATGGCATGGCGTTGCAAAATGGAGCGATAGCCTTCCTTATTCAAAATCCCTTTTACCTTGTACAAATCTCCCACTTTAACAGCACCAAAGCAGCCCCAGACCATCACATTACCTCCACCATGCTTGACAGATGGCGTCAGGCACTCCTCCAGCATCTGTTCACTTTTTCTGTGTCTCACAAATGTTCTTCTGTGTGATCCAAACACCTCAAACTTAGATTTGTCTGTCCATAACACTTTTTTCCAATCTTCCTCTGTCCAATGTCTGTGTTCTTTTACCCATCTTAATCTTTTCCTTTTATTGGCCAGTCTCAGATATGGCTTTTTCTTTGCCACTCTGCCTAGAAGTCCAGCATCCCGGAGTCGCCTCTTCACTGTGGACGTTGAGACTGGCGTTTTGCGGGTACCATTTAATGAAGCTGCCAGTTAAGGACATGTGAGGCATCTATTTCTCAAAACTAGAGACTCTAATGTACTTGTCCTCTTGCTAAGTTGTGCACCGGGGCCTCCCACTTCTCTTTCTATTCTGGTTAGAGCCCGTTTGTGCTGTTCTCTGAAGGGAGTAGTACACACCGTTGTAGGAAATCTTCAGTGTCTTGGCAATGTTTCGCATGGAATAGCCTTCATTTCTCAGAACAAGAATAGACTGTTGAGTTTCAGAAGATAGTTCTCTTTTTCTGGCCCTTTTGAGAGTATAATCGAACCCACAAATGCTGATGCTCCAGATACTCAACTAGATGGTTGCTGGAAATGGGCCTCTGTACACCTATGTAGATATTCCATTAAAAATCAGCCGTTTCCAGCTAGAATACCTATCATTTACCACATTAACAATGTCTAGACTGTATTTCTGATTAATTTAATGTTATCTTCATTGAAAAAAAACAGTGCTTTTCTTTAAAAAATAAGGACATTTCTAAGTAACCCCAAACTTTTGAACAGTAGTGTATATCTATCGCTATATGCAGGCTTTTTACACCAAAACTGTTAGGTAACAACATAACATATCTCCTATTGTGGAATTAACACATTATGTCTCATTTTATTGTGATGCCCCACTGGATGCATAAAGTTACATAAATGCAACATGGCTTTCCAAATGTAAACACTGTCTGTGCAAAATAAGAGAACAACTTCAACTTTCATTGTATTAATACTGAAAAGAGCGCTAACGCAAATCGCTAGCCAAGCGCTAATTGCTAGCTAAGTGTTAGCTTTTGTTAATGTGTTTGTATTATGAACCTGAAGGAGTGCTAATGTAAACTCTAAGCCAATTGTTAGTTTGGTTAAGGAACAGCTCATAGCAGGGTCAGATATTTAAGGTGCATTGCATTTATTTTGTGTTAATATTAAAATCATTCAGCTTTAAATTGTTTGCTTGTTAGCTATAGTTAGCAACCAACCAGTCTAGCGTGTAACTGCAGAGGTGGGTAGAGTAGCCAAAAATTGTACTCAAGTAAAAGTACTGTTACTTCAGAATAATATGACTCAAGTAAAAGTAAAAAGTAGTCATCCAAATAATTACTTGAGTAAGAGTAAAAAAGTGCTTGGTGAAAAAACTACTCAAGTACTGAGTAACTATTGAGTAACGTCTGATTTATTTTTTAACACATTCAATCAGACAGACAAAAATACAAAATAATCGTCTTTAGGCAAATTATAGTTCATCCAATCAATAAAATAAATTAAAATTAACTAATTAATTACAAAATAGCTTAAATTAAAATAATCCAGGTAAATTCAAGTACTTAAAAAATAAAATCAATAAAATAATAATAAATAAAAAATAAATAAGCACAAGTAACACAAATTCCCAAACCTTTATACTTTTTTACCAGGCTCTGCAGGCAGAACTAGAACAAGGCAGCCCATAAACTCTCATAAACTCTGTGTGTGTGTGTGTGTGTGTGTGTGTGTGTGTGTGTGTGTGTGTGTGTGTATTACCGCTACATGTTTCCTCAAGTTAGATGTTGAGTTTTTGAATGCTGAAATGTCCATTTGTTTTGATAGACACAGAAGACACCGCGTAATGTAGCTGCTGTTTCGCACTTTTACTGAGGTAAACATGCTTTCAATATGAGGCCAGGGGTGTTCCTCCTCGTCTGGGTCTGCATTGCCGACGGTTGATTCTGACATTTTTGTTTGCTACGACTGTAAAGCTAACCCGTCCTGCTGCTGAGATTGAGTGTGGTCACATGACGAGACTGCACCACTACGTTTGATTGGTGAAACACAGTCAAGTGGTAGAGCCTTTAGCAGAAGTCTCTCTCTGTCAAAATAAAACATCAAAATGAGGTGTACGCGGGGGGGATAAAAACAATGACGCGTAGAATACCAAAGAGGTAAAAAGAAAAGTAACGAGCTCATTGTAGCCTAATGTAGCGGAGTAAGAGTACAGTTTCTTCTTCACAAATCTACTCAAGTAAAAGTAAAACGTATAATGTTTTAAACTACTCCTAGAAGTATAATTTTTTCATTTCAAAAACTTACTCAAGTAAATGTAACGGAGTAAATGTAACTCGTTACTAGCCACCTCTGGTTATACGTCATCTAGCGCGCGCCGGTAAACGTCCCATGCTGCGTTCATGCAGGCTCGGAAAGGCTGAAGCCTAGAGAACAAACATCGGTTATAAAACCCGATACCGATAATTCCCGATATTAAATTTTTTTGTGAATATCGGCCGATAATATCAACCAACCCTAACCCTAACCCGATATTATCGGAGGTCCGATATTATCGGTTTTAAAATAGTTCCCTGAATAGTTACTACTTACACTCTAGTTTTTGATCTTTGACCCCTGAAGTCAGATAAGTAAATGATAGGGTTTGAAAAGTTATTGATTATTAACAGTTCTTTGACTTCTGACAACTTTCCTAATTGTTTCAAACATGCAATTATTCAACCGCTAAAAGGTCCAGTGTGTAACATTAAGGAAGATCTATTGTCAGAAATGGAATATAATATTCATATGGATATTTTCATTAGTGTATAATCACCTGAAAATAAGATTTGTTGTTTTTTTGTTACCTTAGAATGGCCGCAATGTTGACTCGCCCAGTATGGACAAACCGTTTTGTGTTTTGTGTACAATTTCTGTGAACACTGTACCTTCTCTTACACACTTGGAAGTCGAACCGTCTAGAAACCAGTCTTAAAGGAACTGCTCTACATCTGCTAAATTCATACCTGTCCAATAGAACTATTTCCATAGATTTAGCAAGTTCCACAAACAAAGTCGTTTTTCATTTTAACCGTGGTGTTCCTCAAGGGTCCATTCTTGGCCCACTGCTGTTCTCAATATAAAAGCCTTTTCTTAGCCAGATCATCCAGACCCATGGTGTTTCCCATCACTGTTATGCAGATGACGCACAATTAAATGTCCCTCTCCCTGTCCACTCCTTGCCTGCCTTAGCGATTAAATGTTGGATGTCCCAAAACGTTTTAAAACTCAGTGATGATAAAACTAAGGTCAGTCTTTGGGCAAACACATTCTACCAGCCTGCTTCACAGTAAGCTTTATTTTTTTATTTATTTATTATAAGTTTGACAAGATTTAAAGAAGACAATAATTTACATAAAACAAACTGTGTAATAATAAAAATAGACTGTTGTCCGACCACTCAAAGCGCTTTTACACTACGTGCCACATTCACCCTTTCATGGCAAAGTCCATCAAACAGAAACTAACATTCCTACACCGATGCACGGCATCAGGAGCAATTTGGGGTTCAGTAACTTACTCAAGGATACTTTGACATGTGGCACCAGGAGCCAGGGATCGAACCCACAACCTTCCGATTAAGGAACGACCCGCTCTGCCTCTGAGCCACAGCCGCCCTCGTGTCACCATATAGGACGGTGAACGTGAATAGACTGATCTATACCGCACCTACATGTATTAAAATTTCTAAATGCTACAAAAATATTCAGAAGAATAAGGATATTGTTAATCAGACTTTTATTAAGCATATATTAGACTAGAGATAGATTGACTTTACATCACACCTGCTTGCACTTAGAGTATAATAATTTTGGCACGGTCACATTCAGTACATTGTTACATATAAATTGCACATATGTTGATCATATATATGCATACATAACAAGTTATTTCTTGCTGACTATTACAATCTACAACAAGTTCAATACTGGCCAACTGCCAAATAGTACATATTAATTTCAAAGGTGAAATATTTCAGTCAGTAATAATTTCCTATTACTTTTCCAAGTAACACTCTCTATTAAATACTAACTAGTGTTCATAGTTATTCACAATCATGCGCGAATATGGTAATTATCCAGTTAGCTGTATTCTCTTAGAGGTAGTGTTTACATAGACTCTTAAAGTGATAGTTCAACATTTTGGGAAATACTCTTATTATCTTTTCTCTGAGGGTAAAATGACAAGAACAATATCAATCTACTGTCTGTGTATTACATAAGGAACAAGTCAGTATGTGGTTAGCCTAAATTAGGAAAGTATGAATAACCTTCAGTAGATTACACAGTGGGCACTTGTCAAAGTAAAATAGGCTTTTACACTTTTATTCTTTACTAGGTAGGCAAGAGAATTTTTTTTTTTCAAAAGGTAGGGAATTTTGTGTATTGATATGCACATGCACGTCTCTTAGCACTGGTGTGGGCCGACACAGCTATTAGGGTAGATGGACAAGTGAAATGTCTAAAAATTCTGTCGCAGATCTGCCTTTATGTACTGTAGTGGCGGAGGGCATACTCAAAAACAACTATGAAGTTAAAAAGACCTTAAGGTAAAACATGTGTCCAGCGAGGAAACCTATTGTTGTGTATATATTGTTGTGATATATAGTCATCTAAAGTGGACCTATATACTAATTTCCAGTTCTCTGTATCTGCTTCAGCTTTCAGTGATTTAGTGTCCTGATGACACCTGTTGTCAGCGGTTATCTACTTTAGCCACTAACTAGCTGCAGCTGTTGCTGGTTAGCAGTGCAGCTAACTCAGTCGTCCTATTAGGTGACTCTGGTAAGAACTTCCAGTTCTCAAGCTCCCAGTCAGTTAGCAGCAGCTACCAGTTAGGTAATAGCTACAAGTAAGGCAGAGCACAACATCAGAGGAAAAAACACATATTGCTTTCCCTCACCACCGAAAGATCTCTGTCTGCATACAGAAACTAGAAAGTTAGTCCTGACTCCTGAGGAGTGCATGACCTGCCGGGAGCAAAGGGACATGTAAAGAAATCCACGATTAGATGGCTAGTCACATCATCTGGAAAAGGCCATAGTAAACGTTGCATTCAGAGCAGTCTGAATTTTGAGCTTTTTGCTCACAGGAAATACATTTACATACATGTACTTAATTATTTGACACTTTGACCTTAATATCAGCATCAGACATTGTAACTTATATATATGACCGAAACTAAGGAAAAGCATAATACTGGCAGTATTGGCACACTGGTCTTACACCACATCAGCTTTTGTTTGTGATCTTGAGAGACCATAGAAGACCAGCAAGGGCATAAGAATAGGTTGGTGCAGATGTTGAGAAGAGAGGTTTTTCCCTCTGGATCACAGTTCCACAGCTTAAAACAGTTGTCTTAAAGGGCAAGAGGTTCACCATCCAATTATGTACTCATGGATTTCCTCGAGAATTAAACAGCTGACCTCCATTAGCGACATTGGCTATATCATAACAATGCTTAATTCCTCAGAGTGAGATGTTCCACTGTTTAACTGGGGTTCCCGCTATGCTGGTTCGAGCTTAGATCAGACTCCATCTCCACAGCAGCTCCAGCACTTCGAGCAGACAGACGATCCACAGAGCGGGGCGAGGCATTGGTTTGCCGACCATGGCAGCATGCCAACACGTCAGCGAGATCGGCCCGGAAAGACGGTGTGTAGAAGCCATAGATGACAGGATCACAGCACGTGTTTAGGTTGCCAAAGACAAACAGTATATGGTGCACATACTCAGGTGTGTGCTTGATCATGGCTGGTTGGAACCAGTACCAGATCCCCAGGAGGTAGTAGGGTGTCCAACAGATGACAAAAGAGCTAACGATCACAATGGTCATCTTGAGGGTCTTCATCCGGGCTTTGGGTATCATGTCTGTTCCACTGCGTCTAAGGCAATGCTCACCATCTGCAGAAACGAAACATGGGCAAAAACTAAAATACCAGAAAGCATTTTCAATAAATGTTAGTAAATAGCAAATTAAAATAACTTATAGCCCTTACAGCTAGAGGGGAGTACAGGAAAGGATAATTACACTTTATACTACCTTATATACATATACATATATAGTTATTTTGTATCATGATAACATTGTACTCAGATCTGGGAACTAGGAAAATTTTGACAGGTGAAGAAAAACGGTCATATGATCAGACAGGTTTATGGAGAATATCTAAACCACTTTATTTGAACATGAGCCACTATAAGCCCTGTCCATAGTGCATACCGGCGTTCTTAGGCCACATTGAGACCGTGGGGGTAAAGCGTGGATAATAACATTTTTCTGATTTCTGATTTTCTAACAGAGGTTGAAGTTATTTCATTGGAATCATGATTATCATGGGTGTCTCTGTTTAAGCCCTATTCCCGGGACTTATTACCTGGGGACCTCATGTAATTTTAATAATTGGCCCATGTCCGTAATTTGTAAAGTAAAAATTCCACTCCAAATTACCTACCATATTTTGCCAAACACTGAGGTCATGTGATAATATTAGTCCCGTGCGAATCGGCATCTCTGTGATTTGGGGTCGTTTTTTTGTTTTTTCTAAGGTTTTTTTTTTTCCCGATCGAGAATTATGGAGGCTGCGTTGGCCATTATAAATGAAAGTTTTGACAGCATTTTGATGTTTGTGGGCATGCTGGGAAAACAGCAGATGGACACTGATGTGAGAAAGATGTTCGAGCCATTCGACAGCATAGAGGAGTGCACGGTGCTCCACGGGCCCGAAGGTACCAGCAAAGGTAACGTCAGATCAGTAACAGACTGTTACGCATAGGTTACGCAGAGCCTTGACATCATATCCGGGGGATAATGTCAGTAAATTCGAGTTAAAACACAGACTTAGCTTATCCCGTGCGAATGCGCCGCACGAAACACAGACATGGTGGGGTAATTACTAAATCACATGAGGTCCCCAGGTAATACTAGTCCAATGCGACTTGGGCTTAAGTCATCCAAAGTCTAAGTTTAACTTTGAACTACCTAAAATGCCAGAAACCATCTTTGGAAAAGCTTTATTTGACGTGTTCATTTTATTTTTTTGGTTTGGCACATGTCCCATCTGCTAACACGGAGGCAGCAGGCTTTATGACCTATACTGCAGTCAGCCACCGGGGGCGATTAAAATGTTTTGGCTTCACTTTTGGAGAGCTGTATGTTGTTAATCTTTATATGTGTCGATGGTGCTGACCTTTGCAAGAAGGTGGAGCTTGAGTCCAGCTTATAGAGCTATTGTAGCTGACTAGCACTGCCGTGTTCCTGGCTTACTAGCATGTTAGCAGGTAGCTTGTCAGCTCCAGTTGTATGTCACAAACCTTTATTTATACAGTCTATGGTCATGAAGCTCCGGGTACCACAACAAGGATGTCTGCCAGTGTTTTTTGACCCGTCTGACTTCTTTTTACTGATGCCACCGTGTTCCCAGATCTCAGCTATTCACTTGGTGAGTACAATGTTATTATTAACAATAAGTCAATAGGAAAGAGTAAGTAGAAGTAAAATTACTAAACATTCAAAAGTAAAAAGTAGGTCAGTTAAAATGTAGTCTTGCATTATATTTTTAATTTTAAAAGGGGGAGTAAAGACTTAATGTTATATGATGATATGTGATATATGAGTGAAGAAGTATTAACACCTATAAGGCTCTTAATATAAACCGCATTAACATCTCAACACATCACACCACAGAGCCCCAGAACATATTCTTTTTCTGGATCAGGTGAGTCCTGAACCATCCCTTAGTTATGCTGCTATAGGCCTAGACTGTCGGGGGATTTCCCATGGTGCACTGAGCTCCTCTCTTCCTCTCTCTTTCTGCACTCATTCATGTCCCATTAATGCATGTTACTAACTTCACTTCTTCCCCGGAGTTCTTGTGCTTTCTCGTCTCGCAGGTTCTCATGGATCCTGGTGGAGCCTCCTGCCCTGGTCCTGCTAGATTGTCATTACCAATACTGTTGTTGCTGTGCACCTGTCTGTCTGTCTGTCTGTCTGTCTGTCTGTCTGTCTGTCTCTCTCTCTTTCTCTCTCTCTCTCTCTCTCTCTCACCCCAACTGGTCCAGGCAGACGACCACCCACCTAGAGCCGAAGGATCTGTCCTAGGTTTCTGCCTTTTAACAGACAGTTTTTCCTTGCCCTTGTCGCCAAGTGCTTGCTCATGGTGGTACTGTTGGGTCTCTGTAAATAATGTTTTAAAGAGTTCAGTCTAGACCTGCTCTATTTGAAAAGTGTCCTGAGATAACTTCTGTTATGAATTGGCGCTATGCAAATAAAATTGAATTGAATTGAATTGAATTGAATTGACGGACATTTGCAGCCTGTGCCTCATTAGAATTAACCAGAAAAGAGGACAAAACTCACACAATTAAACAAGAATGACTTGACAATAAATAAAAAGACCTATGGATACCATGGCGGGTGCCTTATTAGATTACAGATATTAAATAATCTGCCACTTCTTAAAGAATGAACAGCAGAACAAAACATCTGTATACACAATATAAACTCCACACCGTCTGCAGCCACAAACACACATTACTTAGTGTGCTCGCCAGGTGGTGTGTTACTTCATTTACAGCAGTTAATTAAGGTAGAATTAATCAGGACTTTTCATGGGATTTTTGTTTTTACACTTTAACAGATGCGACTTGAAAGCACAGTACAATACTTGAGATAAAAAATACTTAAAGGTTCCATATCTAAGAAAAAAAAAAAAAAAAAGAAAAACTTTGCTTCTGCGTAGGGATGCCGGTTGGATTTTCCACAAAAATCCAAAAGATGTGACATTTAAGCTCCCCAGTGCCGTCACAATCCACTTCCCTACAGGGTCAACACTGTGCAACACTAGCTAGCATAGAGTCCAAAGTCAAAGCTGACATTACTGCAAAGCTTGTAAAGTATAATGTGATAATGTGGTTTTAGCTGGCTGAAGCCAGCAGGCTAACCTTAGCTTGTTTGCTTAATAAAGTTATCGCTAGCAGAATACTATCTGAGTGGATATGTTAGTTAGTTAACATTTACGTTTAAACTATTTAACCAGTTAACGTGATCCTTATTATGTAACAGTACAAAGCTAAGGACTGCTTTCTACTAGCCAAAACGATGGAAGGCAGGGGCATCCGACTAGCTAACTGTAGCCTAAGTCAAGCTGAGGTTGGCTGCGTGGTGTGGGTCTGTCATTGGTTGGTTCGTGGTGTTGGCTGATGGGATGATTTTTGTGCCTATGGACTGTGTACGACCAACAGGACACTGACTGCAGTTCACTTAAAGGCCATTGGTGTCACTATTAACAGCCATTTTCTGAAAGTTACATATAAACCCTTTAAGTAAAATTAAAATCCCACTTTGTTACAGCAACTAGACTAAATTGAATGAATTACTTCCACACCTCAACAATACAAACTATTGAAGTAAAAAAATAAGACCCAAGTTGCAATAAAATGGAGGAGCCTGCGAGCTAGTTCAGGCAGTCAACTGGAGCTGCGCTGATTACACACATGACATGCCTTATTCCATAATCACTAACCAAGCGCATCCTTCCAATCTGTCAGTCTATTTAAACTGCACAATTTCCCAGCTCTCCCTCTGCTCTGTCAATGCCGCTGTTGCCCTGCATCTGTATTGCTGCTGTAACCTTGTAAGCCCCACCACCACCCCAGCATCCACCTGTAGGCTCCGACTGGGGGTTGAAGGTATTTGCGCATCACTCCCCAATATCTCTATGTAAACATATCAGCGGGGAGTGATGAGGTCGGAGCCTAGACGCCAAAATCTACATATGCTGTACTGCTTAATAAACATTCCAAACGTGAGTTGGCTGACTGAACTGGTATTATCCTGTAAATCCTCAGCAGTTGTATGCTGTGTTGGGTGGAAAGGATTAAAAATGTTCCTCTACAGATTCCATAGCTCACGCCTTTTTTGAGAGTCACACACCTTTGGTCTTGTGCATCTGCCCATTGATCTTGGCGAGGATGCGGGTGTAGCAGAAAGTCATGACAAGCAGGGGGAAGACATACAGCGTCACAAAGTGAAACATGTTGTATGCCGTCTCCTGCCAGAGATACTGGAAACTTCCGTGGGTCACACACTGAGTGAAGTCCACTCCATCAGCTTTAATGGCCCGGAAGATGAACAGCTGAGGATGGAGAGAGTGTAAAGAGATGAGGAATGAATTTCATGCAGTCACAGAAAAAAAACACAAGTGTAGTTTATTTTTAGTAAACAAACATTGTATTATGTTTGTTTATATTAAACAAACTACTCAAAGAACCACGATGCAGGAGGTTCTTTGACTCCATGTTGTGCATTATCGTCCCTTTAATGCACCTCAGTGTCCCAATTATAGTATGTGAAAAACACAACATTAGGGCAGCCTCTTGTTATTGACTGTACTGGGACCAGATTTAAAAGGTGAAAGGTAGGTAAAAGGTAAAGTGAGCTGTTTATTAATTAGGCCTTTTTTCAGTCTGCCCACCAAATATTGGTCAGATGGTGACGTCGTGTCCCCATGTCTGATAATGGTCCAATCAGAACCTCACTGACAAACCAGGAAATATTGATCATATTATTGATATATTTGCGATCCTTCTGCACTTCAATCCACGTACAAAAATGCCTATTGTTGAAAAAAAGATGTTGATGCCATATATTTCTAAATAAAATAGCTGCCTCATTATCAGCCTGTGGTGTTTGTTAGGCTATGTTCACGCTGCAAGCCTTAGCATTCAATTCTGATTCATTGCTTAGATCTGATTTATGATGAATGACGATCTAAAGTGACGTAAAGTTTATGTGAATTCTGATATGACTGTTCACACTGATTGGTGTCACATATTTGCAAACAAACAGATTTGGGTCAGTTTGGCCTGCAGTATGAACACAGCCTTAGTGGCTTCAGTCTTTATCAAAGCTTGTTGTTTGCTTTTAGAAGATCAGGTGACATCGTAAAAAGAGGAATGAAATCCTTGTAGGGAAGAGGTCATGGTGTCCTGTGTGAAGCCAAAAGTGAATCAATAATTTATTTTGTTAATATTTTCAGTTTTTAGGATATATAAAGCTGCTGAATGCATTAGCTCAATAGCCAGGTAACAGCACAACTTTTCATTTTTTAACCATAACGATTGATTGGATGTTCAAACAAGTCATTTGAGTAACGTCTGATAAACAGTGAGCAGCTATTTTAGGAGATCACTGAGCCATGGACAGGGTAGGGAAGTCAGAAAGTGTTGAGAGACGCACAAACACATTGTTGGTGTATTATTCTTATTATAAAACTACAGAAGAAAAAAATATTTTTTGTCATATTTGCTGAAACTTTCACTATATCCTGACAGTAGTACATGAGACAGATAATCTGTGAAACAATCAGGTTCCTCTGGCTCCTCCTAGTGCTACTAATGGCATTTGCAAGAATCCACATGGCCTGAATGAAAACAACCAATCAGAGGTGAGAAAGATAGTTGATTGTTGTGTCTCATTCCCAGGTTGTCAAATACCAACGCTGGGAATGAGACTCAACAATCAACCTTCTTCAAGTCTCCAACACAAAACGTCTTTATATCTCTGGCAGTCTACTGATGATACTGGTTGTAAAACCACTGGCTTCTCTCTGTGTGGTGTCCGCATGTGGCTTTTCTTCCAGGAGATCCATTTTTCACACTCTCCAAAGACACACATACACACACACAGTTTAGGTGAACTGAAACCTCCAAAACTGTCCTCCGATTGCATTGTCTGTCAAGTTGGATCTGTCCAAGGTGTGAAATAGCCTGCCTCTCAACAATTGCATGCTGGGATAGAGTCCTGTCACTGGCACCCTTAACGGGAATAAGTATACAGAATGGTAGAATAGGGTCAGTAATCTACCCACAGACCCATCACTTATCAGTTTGGCCTGACATATAGGTTGGTAGCCTAAGAGTGTGAGATACAAGCACTCTGTCGGCCCCGTTTCTGCTGGCCTATCTGTGACGGATCAGTTTCTATCTTCAACAGGCTTCTTTTATTTGTGGCTGCCTCACAGGAGAGGCTGCAGATTGCATCCAAAGATTCAGGTTTAGACCCGTATGATGAAAGCAGAATGTTTCTGTTTTCTCTTGTAGTTCCTTTCACTTCCTTGAATTGTAGCAAGATATATAAAGGAGATGTTCTGCTTTTTTGTCCAGAAGAAATCCTGTGTCCTCTTAGATTTTACATGTAGTTTGTACCCATTGTTTTTGGAAAGTTTCCTGTTTGGAGGAATTAGTTGGGTTTGTGATGCCTTGGTCCTGGATCAGGACTCGTATTTTATAGCTCTATGATCCGTTAATTGGGGGAAAAAATCTAAATATCTATCCATCGACAATAAATGTAATGCCAGGAAATAATTTGCGCTAAATGGAAGAATTTAGATTGATATATTAATCTACATAACCTTTATATTACACACAGTACAGTTTTGATGACCAGCTGTCACATGACAACATTCAATATCCTGATTGGCAGGCGGATTATAGGTGTTGCACACCATCTAATTCACTTTTCAGTTAATTCCAGGTGTCATGCACAAGGACCAGTGTGTAGGGTTTAGTGCCATCTAACAGTGAAGTTTCAGATTGCAACCAGCTGAATACAGTTCACTTTCAAAGTGTACAGCTGGCTCCAAAATTTGCCAAAAATGCAATAGGCCCTATCTAGAGCCAGTGTTTGGTTTTTCCGTAGGTGGGTCAACATGGCGAACTCCGCCATTCTTCCTCCTAAATGTTACACACTGGACCTTTAACCAGGTTGCCAGGAAGAGCTTATGTGCAATTCCAGACTACCTCATCTAAAACTGAATAATGATAGTGGAACCACAAGTCCATTTCAGTGTTAAGCATGGGTACACTGCACCAGCTAGTGAAAGTGGTAAAGACCTTGACATGAAGTTCAGTGTGTAACCTAGACCCTACTGTACCTGTGGAGATGCCAGCAGCAGACTCAGAGTCCAGGCCACCAGCAGCATGCGTCTGTTCCTGAGCCCCGCATCGAGAGAATCCAAAGGATGAAGGATGGCCCGATAGCGGTCCAGACTCACCACCACCAGTATGAATGCTGCTGAGTGCATGGCAAAGAGCTTGAGGAAGCACAGCAGCTTACACATGATATCCCCAGCATACCACTGCACTGTAATGTTCCAAATGGCATCCAGCGGCATCACCACAAAAGTCATTACAAGATCAGCGGATGCCATGCTGGCGATGAGTGGGCGCAGGTGTGCCGCCAGGCGATAACCTCGCCCCCAGCACACGCTGATTAGGACCGACAAGTTACTGGCAGCAGCGAAGACAAACAGCACCAGAGTGGCTGCGACACGGCAACGGGCCGCCACTGTGAATGATGGAGCCTCCCAGGGTGGCGGGGAGGTTGGAGCAGGCGAGCTCAGCAGGGAGAAGACAGAGTCATTCTGTAAAGGATCAGCAGGTGTGGAAACCCACAGAGACAGGTTCCCTGTCATCCTGTGACAGAGGGAGAAAACCAGCATTAGACACCAACCACAAATACAATCACTTGCAGCTCATTAGGCAGCCACAGCTGACATTAGCTAAAGCTAGTTTACTGACTATTTCCCAACCTGCTTCCTGTAATGGAAGTCAATTTTGATCTCAGAAATCCTTTGTTATAACACATATATACTGTATATGTAACGGAGAAATAAAGTCAGGGCGCCCAGATGGCTCACCTGGTAGACTGGCGCCCCATGTACCAAGGCTGAGTCCTTGCTGCAGTCCTTGCTGCGTGTCATCCCCTCTCTCTCCCCTATTTCCTGTCATTCTTCAGCTGTCACTACCAATTAAAAGCAATAAAAGCTTTTTTTGTCTTTTTGTCAAAGGAACCAGGGCGATGCTAACTTCCGCTGACCAATGTTTTAACATCAACAGCAAGTTTGAACCATCTGCTACTCTGTGTGCTAACACAGTGGTTCTCCAACTTTTTTTATGAATGCACCCCCTTTGAAATATTTTTTTAGCCAAGTACCCTCTGAACATCACAAAACAATTTTGGCAGAAACTGTGTCTTTTTGATAAGTTGCACTTTATTGAGAAACAGGAGCTTAACTGAGGATCTTTGTCATTGTCTGTGGCAGAAATGAAACTGCATTGACCGAACCCTTTTCCAGAGTTTGGCTAACAGCAGTGAAAGCTACAGTAGGGAACTTTTATAAAAATAACTTTTTGTCATTTTTTGTCAAACTTTCACTATTTCCTGACAGTAAAACATGAGACAGATAATCTGTAAAAAAATCAAAATCAGAGGAAAAGAATCCATCAGGCCTGAATGAAAACAACCAATCAGAGCAGAGAAAGATAGCTGATTGTTGAGTCTCAACGATGTTCAAGCCAGAACCCAAACCATCTTTCCTGGTGGATTCTTGTAAATACCATTATGAGCACTAGGAGGAGCCAGAGGAACCTGATTGTTTCACAGATTATCTGTCTCATGTACTACTGTCAGGATATAGTGAAAGTTTAAATTACCTACTGCTTTCTTCTGAACTTTTTTTTTTTTTTTTGCAGTTATGAATTACTATATGATTATTTGTATGTGAAGTACTCCAGCAGTACCCCAAAATACCCCTAGGGGTACGCGTATTTGAGAACCGCGGTTCTAATGCACATAAACTAGTGACTGCTTCAGAGAAGTAAATTAGAGAAATGTAAAGCACAGCAGCATGCTTTGTACGATGAGCAGCAGTAATGTGAAGCTTATGCAAATTGTACTGCAGGTAACACTGGTCTGGGTAGTGGAAGGTGGCGCAGGGGCGCCATCTGCCGGCGGACCACTGCAGCTCTCCGTGTGTTCCTGCACCAAAGAACTCTGTACAGGCTCAAACGATAAAGAACCCAACATGACGAAGACGTTCGTTTTCACGCAATAAAACCTTCCTCAGATTTCACAGTGAGGGTCTGAGTGGATGAATTCCCCTTTTTTCTTTCACTTTTTCCACATTCTCAGCTCCACATATTAGACTGCAATACTTCAACGCTGGGGGGGACGCGCCCTCATCCCCCACCGACATGCACACACTCACACTGACTTAAACACACTAAACCAGGTCTGTTAGCACACTTCAGAGCTCTGAACTACTCGGACACAAACAGCAGCGTTCTTACCTGGAGGAGAGTCTTGTCTACTGGTGGTCAGATGAAGAGAAAACCTGACGGACTCCGGATCCGGAGCGGAGCTGTCCAACGTGCTGAAGCATCAGATCTTGCCTGCATGCTCTCTGTCCTCCTGCGGCTTCACCCGCACACTTCTGTTCAGCATCTGATCAAATCATCGATTCAACCGGATCAGTGTGATTTTTCCCCCAGTGGCATCCATCTGCTCGCTCCATCAGCCACTCTCTCTGCCACCCACAGTGAACGTATTCAGCGTGAACAAGGAGCCACAAGGTTCAATGCCGATTGGTTAATTAAGGCGGGTGACGTGCGGGGTGTTGCAGCGGTGACAGTAAGGCATCCTGGGGAATTTCCAGTAGGCTCCATTGCATTGTGGGCGCTTTGTGCCTGCTTTGACTGAGCATAGACCACCCTGTATGGAATAATAATAATAACAATAATAATAATAATTACAACCACTGACATGTTCATACATTTCCATAAAGAGTTTACCAGATTAGGGCATATCAAACTCATGAATGACAAAACACACCTTGACGCACAAAGGTCACATCTCTATTTGATGTGTTTTATCTGTGATGCCTTACATGCAGGCTAAATATAGGCTGCTGCAGTGTTTCATGTGTGGATTCAAGCCTTATCTTCAATACTGACTGCGTTTGCTCACCTGCTAGAGCACACATACCAGGAGGCTAAGTCCTTGCCGCAGCGATACAAGTTTGATTCCAGCCTGGGGGCATGTCTTCCCCTCTCTCTCCCTCTTTTTATTTACCGTCTCAGAACTGTTCCTGACAAATAAAGGCAAAACAATTATATTTTAAAAAAGTGACTGCTTTTGAGTCCCTTTCCGTGGTGGTATGGTGCCCGGAGAGGTGGGTATTCTAATTTATGCCACAAATTTAATGGCCAGATAAACGCCCTGTGTAATAAACATTTAAGACTACTCTTGCATATTTAGTTCACCCAAAAATGTGTTAGCTTTCACTGCTTGACACTGATGCAGTTTGATTGAAGTATTCCTTATTCCATACTCCACCCACTTATGAAATTATGTCATGCCTTCATCATCCAAGGAAAAAGAATTCAGCTTGCAGAACACAATTAAATGATACACATCAGAGTGGATTTAGAAGTGGGTGTCACCAATGCCAACTGGAAAATACACTGCACCACTGGTCCCTTTGTTTCTCAAGGTTGTTTTTTTTTTTAGGTGGAGATCCAACAATATGCCTTCATGGATTTATTCAGATTTATGATACAGTAGGACAGGAGAGGGACGGGGCATTAGAAATCAATACATTGCTTTATTTCCAAATCTTGAGACATTTTTTCAAATACATTGATTTATTCATTAAACTTAACTCAAATCGTGTCACAAATCTGACACATGGTGGATCAGTCAATTAATTTCCAAATTTTTTAACATGTTATTTTTTATCTAAATGAATGTGTTAAATTTTACAGCATTTTACACCAAACTGGGGTGGCCATCTAGATCCGCCCCTGGAGAGGGAGCCAGCAGTGAGAATAAATTTACACTCAGGTTTTTTGTCATTTATAATACAACTCGGTTATGTCTTGGTGACACAACCACCTTAAATGAACTGTGATGCATTTACTAGTTAAAAGTGAACGCATGACCAGCATTAACACTATGATGGAATTTTACATTGCATATAGAAGAAATATGCAACATACACCTAATATCAGCCAAAATAATGAAGGTGTGGATTTTGAGGCATTGACACAAGCCTAAGAAGACAGAAGATAAAGCAGAATGTCTTTATCTTACACAGTAAAAACCAGATAAGTTAATTTAACTTGAAAAATTGTTGAAACTGATTACATCAAAAATTCTAAGTAAACAAACGTAATTTTGTGTGTTAAAAAAACATTCTTGATCAAGTAGCTCAAGTGAGGCTGATTTATTTATGGCTTATGACTGTAAAACAAAAAGTTTTAACTTACAAAACTAAGTTAGTGTCCCTTCAGATAACTAGCAAAAGCTGATTAATAAGAATCTTTTTTAACTTACAAAATTTAGTTTCCGGATATTTTTTATGTAATCCGTTTCAACAATTTTTTGGAGTTAAAATAACTTATTGTTACATTATTGTTCAAAGCAGACTATATGTATATATGTTTTAATACATGTCTGGGGTGGATCTTTAAAACACTATAATGAAGGCTACAGCTACTCTCGAAATGCATAATACATGTATTAAACTGAATTCTGTACAGAACTCTATGTACTGTTATACATTATAAACCAAACCTGGGCTTTATAAAAGCTGTTCCCTAAAGATTTTTGTGTTTTTGAGCTGAAAGTCAGGACTGTTTCTGAACTCTGAAGACTCAGATCTCTGACTTTAAAAGAAAAGTCTGTCTTTTTGTTTAAGGACACAAAATAGTGCTAAAATCTAAAAGTGCAAAAACATGAGGACCATAAACCTAGAGATGAATGCAGCTTTTAACATCTATCTTTAGTCTTTGTCGGTACAGTAGTTGTAGTTTTAGATTAATATATGACCACAGTATTTGAAATAATTGATGCTAAGACAATTCAAATACTACAATATAGCCGAGTGGGATCATCTTATATAGTGTATAGTGCCCTTCCTGGCAATGTGGCAGTGGTGCCTGTCATTTCCAAGGAGCTTCCTTTACATCAGATGGTTGAGCCATAATGATGTAAGACATGTTGGTGGAAGCCAGGGTACTGTGCAGCCCAGCTTGACTGACCTATCACTCACCAGAGCAGCAGCGATAATAAAGCTGCAATGAAGCTTCAGGGCTACCGGTGCAGCTTTTTACACAAACAAGACTAAGTTGTTGACACTCCAGTGAATTCTGCTCTGTAGTCCAGTCACGTGCAGTGCTGCAGAGAGAGGGTTTCTGTTGATAATCATCATTCATGTAACTGGGCCATATGTACAGTAACTTCTTGTTTATAGAATTATACAAACTATATCAAATCCTGTAAAGTTCCAAGCCGCCCCTCCTTCATTTCTTCTTCTGTGGTCCCCACTATAATTCAATTTTGCAGCCTTCATCTCTCCTCTTTGTACAGTTCTCCTGTGGCAGAGGTGGGTGTCATTTTGTTACCATTTATTATCATTCCCAGCAATATTTTTATTATTGTATATATATAATTGCATCTTCACCTGCTGCCAATGTGTAGATTTTACCAGACTGGTACTTAAAAAAATATGTTTAACAGTTGGGGGCCAGTGTGTGGGATTTAGTGTCATCTAGTGGCGAAGTTGCAGATTTCAACCAACTGATCTCAGCCTTCCAAGCGTGCAGGAGAAACTACAGTGGCAGCAAAACTATCTAGAGGCAGTGTTTGTTTTGTCCGTTCTGGGCTACTGTAGAAACATGGCGGTTCAACATGGTGGCCTCCCTGTGTAAATAAAAACGGCTCATTCTAAGGTAACAAAAACATAATGATTCTTACTTTCAGGTAGAATCTGGTTGTGTGTTTTGGAAGGAAGTAGCAGAGGAACTACACCTGTGAACTGACGGAGCACTTGTAGAGAGGGTCAGCACCTTCACTTACCTGGAAGTCCAAATCAGAGAGTCTGACAGGGTCTGCACACACAGACATCTTGACCTTTACCACCTCAGCCAGGAAATTCACAGTCTGTCTGGGTCCTCTACCGGGACCACATTACTACTCTGGAAAGCATCCCCACTCTGGGGCATCACCAACTGGTCAGGAATCTGCTCTGCTCAGGGAAGCAGAGCCCTACAGAGAGTGGTGTACCACTGGATCTACACCCCCCACTCTGTCGGACTTGTGAGGTGCAGAACCAGAGCTTGAAGCCAGGCCAACACCCCACATGTTGGCCTCACAGTGACTCTGGTTTCAGCTGGGCCAAAACACGCCGGCAAGGAAGAAATGTGACTGGAAACAGACCAACAGTGGATGTCCCCAGCCACAGAGGCGCCAACATCACAGTGGGCCTCATGCGAGGAGTGATATACAAACAAATGTTCTCTTATGTTTGTTTTGTTTGTATCCATAATTTGTTTTTATTTTGTTAGTACCCATTGATTTCTCTGAATATTTTCTTATTTTTGCTCTTCTCTGAGGTAAGAGAACATTTTACTGGTGGTCAAAAGCACTCAGACCAAGATAAGAACAAAACATTTAGTTTTCATAGTCAACAAATTGTTTGTCCAACACAAAGAATCATAGGTTTTACATTTGAGAAGCATATATGCATGAACATCCTATAATAAGATTAGATTATATATTTTAGAGTAATTCTCATGATGCGATTATAACATTTGTTAAGGAAAATACAAACATTCTTTTCCTGGAATTCTGTTGTGTGAGACAGATGAATGGCTGCTTTTAGATTTGTGCAGTTCTTTGGAGCCTCAACTTAGTCCAAACACAGAGTGTCAAATCCCTCCACACCTGCAATACTACTGTTACTGTGCATCCCTCTGATGACTGTGTTTACTGGGCTATTGCTGCGTTTTTAAATTTCCACTCCAAAATGTTTCAAAGTTCCCTTTCCTATAGATAAATATCTTAAATATCACTTTGTCATCATATTTCAATATCAGATTATTATATTTATGGAGTATGCTATGGTTGTTTCTTATATTCAGCATTGAGCAAGCTATTTTAATTCATTTATTTTGTGTCTATCATTATATTTACTTATTTTTATATTTACTGTTCCTGTGCAATGCCTGAATAACCTGCTGCTGAAACACAAATTATTTCCCCACCCAGCCACCCAGCCTTTTTTGGTGGCATCTCTCCAATTCCTGTCCATGGTCCTGAGTGTTTGCACGCAGCACACCACCTGCCTTGATCTGGAATCAGTCCCTGGGCGCTGTACAGTGGCTATATGTAGGATGGGTTAAATGCAGAGGATAAATTCTGCTCTACTTTGTATGATTGTATATTGTATATATATATATATATATATATATATATATATATATATATATATATATATATATATATACAGTAACTTTGACATGAGGTGAGGAAAGGTGGAAACCATTTGTAATTGTGTGATGATCTGGCATTTCTCCATTCTCCTCCAGTCACAGAGTGGTCCACAGCCCATTCCAGGATAGTGTCACTTACTCTCCATTCCTCTGACACACAGAGGAATTCTCTTCCTCATGGAGGTTTATGATCAGCAGCCACATGATCAGATGTCTATCTTGGACACAATGAATGCTGGATGTCTGAACATATGTGCAGGGCTGGATCAGGCATGCAAAACAATTCTTTCCCCAGGTGTGTCGTAAAAAAAAGGTACGGTGTGATGTGGATGAGAACGTGTGTCCAAATGTAGAAGACATGGTTGGCTGGCACTGTTTTCTCTGTCAGTGTTGTAGTGTAACTCAGTATGTGTAGTGAATATTTATGTTTTTGTATTGCGTTACTAGAATTTAGGTTCATTTTGTGTACTTGGAATTATTCAGTTAAGTAGTGGAATCTTGGGTACATCAAAGATATTTCAAAGACAGTGATACGTACCTGTGATCAACAAACTTTTTGTCAGTGTTGGGGTACAAGAGTTGATTCTTAGATGTGTATGAAGTGTTCCTACATGAAACAGCTCGCAATAAGGTCTGGGGATTATCTTGAGTAATCGGGTCATGATTTCTGGAAACAGACATTGCTGTATGTATTTTTTTGGCACCCTGAGCACCACAAGCTGAGCGCCATCTGGTTCCATTATATTGGAGAGAAGGCAGACATCTCTACGGCTGATACTCCAAAACCCGGCAGTTCACACCGAAACAATGTAGATGTATAAATAGCAGGGAAAATATGTAGTTTTGATTTTGGGGCGAACTGTTCAGGGGATAGCAGCGTCTGGTCTCTGGCCTCCTCATAATTTTCCTCTTTCATTTCATTTGGATATTCAGTTAGTGATTGGAAATGAAAGCTCTCAAGACTCTCTAGCTCTTCGGCCCTACCCTGCATGAAAATAGTAAGGATGAGACACTGCCTTATTCTGCTATTATGTATCAAAAAATCTGTGCACTCTCTGCTCTCAGTGACATCTATCCACTCTGCCACTGTCTGCAGGCTACAGCATTGGTTCCCAACCATTTTCCTTAAGGGACCCTTTTTCTATCACTGAGTAAACTGACTATGTAACATATTTAATGTTTATTTTATATTATATTCAATGTATAACAAAAAAGAGTGAAAGAAACTGATAAACTGTACAACAAACCCCAACAGTGAACACAATAAATTTGTGTAAAACGAGCAATTTTGTTTGGATTATTTCCTGTGAATATTGATCAGAGATTAGTTTTTTTTAATATTTTTATACAAAAAATAAATCCATTTAACAATCAAATATACTTAGGCTTCTTTTTTGACAAATACAGTGTTTCCTTCTCCCTGACACTTGGCATACTTTTCTAATGCAGGACGAGGTTTATCAGAGAGTGAAGGCTCTGTATATACAGCTAGTGTTCAGGTCTTCAGAGTTTTTACATTTTAATAAAAATGTATTTAAACAAAAATCTTAAATTCTTAACTTAAACTCTAAACTTCCAAAATAACAATTTAATCAAATTAATTCAATTTTCCTCACAGGAATGAATATAATGCTGACAATTAAGGCTTAAGTTAATTATTTAAGTTTAAATCAAAAGGCCTCAAGACCCCTAGTGGGGGTACTGGGCTACACTGATCTTTTCATTGGTCTGATAGCATCACTCCCTACGTGAGCCTCCTTCCTTCTGCCTTCCTCTCTCCATCCTCCAGTCAAATAGGATCAGCTCCATGACAGATTCTACCCTACAGTGATGTCAGTATTAAATCGGAATCGTCTGCCTGTGTGTTAGGTGGAGCTGGAGTCAGGAAGTGGTTAGCCTAGCTTAGCATAACTGACTGGAGGCAGGGGGAAGCAGCAAGCCTGGCTTTGTTCAAAGTCAAAAAGAAACACCAACCAACACTTCTAAAGCTCATTGATGAACATGTTGTATCGTGTTTGTTTAATTCATTTGTGCACAAACAGAAATGTGAAAGAAACGATGTGCTGTAAATGGAGGAACTGTATTCCTGCCAATAACCTCACAACCCCGAAGTTCTTATTAATGGCTTATAACTGACCTATACAGCATTAGCAAATGTTTTATTAACCATCTATTAAGTAATTAGTTACAACTAGTCCACTATTCTGGTGCGACTGTCCGGAATCACCTGGAGAGGTCTACAAGGAAGCAAACAGGTATGGACACCAGTACTCTTCATCAACAGACTGCAGCTGTTTGATGGGATTTAATTGTCTTATTATTTTACTATTTGTTTTTTATGTATTTACCCTATAGGATTCTCACTCATACTGATACAGAGTGGATTACTCTGCTATAATAAAAATAAAAACAGGAACAAGGGTTAGATACAATTTAAGGTGTTTCATTTATATTATTGAAGATTCCTAAAGAGCTCACTGAAGATTGCATAAATACATGAACAATAGCAACTGAATTCACACTGAAGTTAAACCCTGTGAAGCCACTAGAGGGCTCAGTCTCCATGGTAGTCAACATGAACAGCTGCTACGAGCAACATCTATCTTTACTCATTGTCTACAGCCTCCAACCAAGGTTGTTAAAATGTATATCATAGCAGAGCCTAGCTGTGCCTCCAGACGGCAAGGTCCAACCTGCGGGTCACACTGTGGTCTACCAGACAGTAAAATCCCCTGCTTTCAATTCCAAAAATGAGGCTGTGGAGGCATTCAGATCCACATCCACATATGACATGCAGAAATACTGTACCAGTAACCTACACAGAAGTATCTGCTAGTGCCAGGACTGAAACCAAAGGGCTCACCCATAGTTGACATGACAACAGAATTGGACGTAAAAAAAATTAAAGTCCCCCTCTAGTCATAAATCTGTGTCTCTTCCTGTTCCTACAGCGTGATGTTTGAATGCTGTCTGTGCAGAGTTTGACTCTAGAAGGATGTTTTCACATTCATCTGCTGAAAGTGGAAAGTTTCTCTGTGCTCATTGAAAATCTGATTTTAAGGGGCGGAGGGACCAGCATGGTTTGTGACATCACAAATAGTTATGAAGTCAGTCCTGGTCCAGTATCAACTTGTACAGTGTGATGTAGAAACTTGAAGCCACCAGTGCACATCCACTGAGAATGGACTTTACAGTGAAGGAGGAGACATCTTGTGTCCAGCAGGAGAACTTTAGAAATGAACAACATCTGTATATTCAGAGACTCTGGAAGTTTTAATGAGGTAGGAGGAGGAGATAAGTTTTTAAGGATTTTTTTTTTTTTTTGTGCAGAGAAAAACACACATTATTGTTCCAAGCTGACTATTTATATATCTGTCCTAATACATGTCTGGAAGGCATCTTTAAGTAGACGATAAATAATTAATTTTTTCAACATGCAAAGTAGGTCAGCAAGTCCCTTCACAGTTGGCTGCTATCTACAGTATGTAAAAACAAATTGCAAATTGACAATTAATTTTTTATCATTTATGAATCTGGAGACAAAGTTATTCTTCTCAGTGTCTTTTAATGAGGTGAGCCAATTAATAATAGAGGTGTAGACCCCTATCGTTCACACTGTCTACATAAAGCTGTATAGTAGGAAATTAGGTCTAAAGCAGGGTTTGCATTTGCACTGCAATAACCTGGTTACAGTAGAACCCACTGTTGTGTACAGCAGATCAGTTACATCACATTCCTGACTATATTTTGGAACTGCGCGTTGCCCTTTTCTACGTGCATGACGCCGCAGGCTGAAATCTTCTTTGTCAGAGCATTTGGACTGACAGCGTACAGACAGACAGTTGCCTACAGAGGGCTGCTTTAAAACGCAGTCGGCTCAGGTCAGTGTATTTTGCGGCCAAATGATTTTCGTTTTGAAATAAGGAAACCAAAATTGGGAAACAAGCCCGTTTTTTGTTTTTGAAAATAAAAAATAGAAAACAAGGAAACAACCTGTTTTCTGTTTATTTATGTTCAAAACAGAAAACGGGTTGTTTTTTCATTTTATATAAAAATAGAACCCCCCCCAAGAAAAGCCATTTTCTGTTTTGAAAATAAAAACAGCTCGTTTGCAATTTTGCTTTTTCTCATTTCAAAACAAAAATCCATCAGCCGAAGTACACTGACCCTGCAACTTGTCTTTGTCAGAGCATTAGCAGGGCCGTGCAGGCAGACAGTGGGCTACACAGGGCTGCTTTAAAATGCACTCGTCTAGATAAGACTAATGACGTTTCCTTTTACCAATCCGCACTGCTGTCACAGCTCTGTTTGCCCTGTCTTAGCTCTTTGTCATGCACACATGCGTGCATAGAACCCATATGGAACCCGGTATAACAACAAATCCGGTTTCTCCGGTGAGAATGTAGCGACCTCTCAATCCCTGACTCCAGTCAGGGAAACCGGCTCACTGTACGTTACCGGTTTCACTGCAGAAAGCTTCCACCGACCCGGTTACTTTAATCAACGTGAACGAACACATTGTTTCTTCAGCCCCATTGGAGTTAACATGGCTTTCCATCCAGACACAGACAACAACACTACTACCGACCAATCAGATCGCTCTCTCTCTCCGCCGCGGAAATGAACGACCAATCAGCTGTCTGAGTGCTCCCAGCGATAAGCGCCGAAGGACCAATCAGCGCTCTGTCTGGGTCTGCTCGGGGAGACGAGCAGCCACTCAGCGGCCTGTCTGGGCTTCACGGAGCGAGTGCCCGACCAATGAGCCGTCTGTCTGGCTGCACCGAGGGGGTGAGCGTCTGCCGAGGCCCAATCAGCGGCTCAGTGCTGCCTGCCGGTGCCGGGGACTGGTGGTGAGGAGCCGCTGCAACGCGTCAGGACCGGACCGTGAACCCGGAGACGGCACACACCGAGGCGAAAGGAAGACACAGGTGAGTCCGAGGATGTGAGCGAGGCCTGGCTCCGGCGGGAGATGTTTTGAAATGGCAGCGGCGGGATTCACGTCGGCTAGCTGTGGTGTTTTTTTCCTCTTACCGGTGGATACGCTGATAGACAATAGAGCAGGCTTTGCTTTGCTATTTATTGATGCAGGCTGACATGTTGGCGACCAGCAGCCGTCGCCTCGAACTGTTTAATTTCCATTTAAAGGTCCTGAGTCGCGGCACAAACGTTGTTGGATGTCTAAATCCTCCCCGGTCGCTCGTGTTTTGACAATAACCGAGCCGTTAACGGAGATGTTGTGATTCCATTGTGATGGGAACGTTGTGCGGAATGCCTACCAATCCGTTTTCATTGTTTGATCCGGAGTCTCTAGGGGTTAACTCAGACCGGAGAAAGAGCCCAGGGTCCTCCAAATACTTGTTAATGCTCGTTTAAAGAGCACCGGGATGAGCGGGGACGTTATGAGGGTTTTATCGGGGCAGAGCTGTCGGTGAAGGCGGATTAAAAGGCGCTAGGAGGAGGCCGGGGGTTGCTGATGGCTCTCGGCAATTAGGAAGAAAAATTCGAAATGCATCAGCCATTTACGTAGAGACTCAACTGGCTCCATATGCACCTAAATGGCTGCCTGGCGCCTGACAGCATAACCAACATTTTACTGTAAGGGCAAGGCTTTATTCAGGCCGAGCGGCTGATTGTTTCCCGAGCGGCGGATTAACGGAGGTAGATGTCTAGATGACGTTAGAGACCAAACGGGAATCAATATTTAATGTGTGCTGCCTTATTATTCTGCAGTATACAGGAGCTCATTTCGTGTCTGCTGGCCAGAATTGGTCTCTGCTGTGCTGCTGCACTCAGATTTACATGAGTCACATGCAGATGGATCCACATATGAGGGCCATTATCACTGTCTTTGTGATTGCATTGTATAGTCCCTTGCTAGATTAGATGTGCAGGCTTTGAGATTCGAATTATGTTAACATGCATTCTCAAGATGAAGTTCCAGTTCAGATATATTGTAGTTTTGTCATTTACACCAGCTTTGATGAAAAACAAAAACTCCTTTGCCCCCAGGAAAACTGCACTGAAATGAAAAGTCAACCGGGGTGGTTGTCGCCGCTCACCATCAAACCTGCGCCCCTGTCACTTACCCTCAGCCCCCGTGTCACTGTCAGCCAGCTGCTCGTCCCCAGCCGTGTAGAGCTTCACCCAGTTTTCCACCCGAGCGTGGAAATAAAGTAGCTCCACACACACAGGCCTTTGGTTCGGAGATAAAAGTTGGCAGACCTTGATACACTCAGCCCTCCACTCACATGGTGATAGTGGGTCTGTATGAATGAATGGTCCCTGCTGTTGAAGAGTGTGAATGAACTGTAGTATTCTCAATGATGGGAGTCCTTCCTCTTCCTATTTCCAGCTCCAGAGTCCCCTGGCAGCCCCAGTAGCATACAGATGAAGGCTGATATACTGCTATGACAGGTTTTTACACTACATATAGAATACTGTAGTGTTATTTTTCATGATTATGCAACCAGTCCAATTAGGGTTGGATGTTTTTAAGCCATCATATAGCTGGTCCATATAGAAATAATACGTATTCTCAACATGCACACACAGACACCCCAAACCAAGTTGGGATGTATAAATCTGCCAGTAATGATCAATTCTAATGCTACCTGTCAAACAGCAGAAATTAGGCTGACCAAATATTCTGGAATTAGTCTACATTGTCCTGGAAAAATGTCATTGTGCTTTAGCCCGCAACTCAGATCGGCCACCTTAACCTAAAGTAAAACCAGACGGGAAGCGGACTTGCAGTGATCTTTTTGGCGTCAAGTCTAATATTTCCGTAGCCGTGAACTAAATACTCAGGGAAGCCCAGTGGAAATGCTGTAGACGGTCATCCTACATATATACAAACTTTTAATGATCACATCTTTGACTTTTCCACTTTCTGGAAGATTTTCTGCAAAATAAAGCAAATTCTACTTGAATTAGAGGTAAACTGTAGTGAGTTTGCCTGAGACCATTCTTCTGAGACCGCAGTGTAATAATCAGCTGTGGTGAGAACAGCCACGCACGCCATTAGAGCCAGTTAACACGGAGTGTCTAATAAACACTGACCACCTTTGAAAGCTACTGGTAAATGATATGACAGTTTGTGAGCAAATGCTGTCCTCTATGGTCAAGAAAAACTCCTGGAAAATATCCAATAGTGACGCCAATACGGATATTGATAATTGGGATAATGATAAATCAGCTGATATTCATTTTGAAATATACACACTCCTTTATAACCTGCAGCTTCTTTTGATTTGCATATTGCGATTTCAATAATACTGCGGTTAATTGTGCAGCCGTACTGGAGACACTGTTTCAAAATATTGTTGGTATTCTTTACTGCAAAAAGTGTGTTTGGTAAAATCAGCTGAGGTAGTTTTGGTTGGACTGTAAAACTCCAGACTGTAGCACATGGAAGGGAAGAAGTACTGGAAAGCGATTCTCTAAAACATATGACTAAATCAACAACAATGGCAGTTAAAGTTCAGAGGAGAACAAACAACCATAGGTGTTTATTTCTAAGAGCTAGATAGTCAAAAACTCATCAAGACTGTGCACTTGCGGTCTGATCAGATTTAATCAACAGTGGCCAGGCACGTAAACTACCCCACAACTGGTTATCACATTTTGTGTAATACACATTTTAAGTACACAGCTGTACTTTTCTTGTTCTTTTTCAGCCGAGCCATAGAAAAATTATTTTATGTGAAGTGCTAAATCTGTATTTTAAACAGCACAGATAAATATGACTTCTTCTTTTCAGCATCATCTAAACAACATTCATCTCCAAACCGCTGTTGATTTGTACCAGCTACTTCAAATGGAGGTCTGTAGACATAACAGTAAAGTATTGAATCCAAACATCCCATTATGCATGATGTGACGCATGACAAGTTTTTTCTAGTTTTTTTTATGATTCAATTCAGTTTTATTTGTACAGCACCAGATCATAACAGAAGTCATTTTAGGACACTTTTCATGTAGTGCAGGCCTAGGCCGTACTCCTTTTTTATACCATTGTTTACAGAGACCCAACAGTCCCCACCATGAGCAAGCACTTTGCAACAGTGGCAAGGAAAAACGTCCTTTTACCTGGTTCTTGGTGGACGGCTGTCTGCCTCGACAGATTATTAATTTGTTAATTGATTAATTTGTGGATGCCTGTGCTCACAAGGCCAATGAACACAAAATCTCTGCAGACACATCTGCAGGCAGGCTTGTCAGTGTAGCTGCTGTGGGAAGATGTGAATGCTCCCCCTTTGAGTTTTGAAAAGGTGGTGGAAAAGTTAGCTTAAATCCCTGTACTATACCTCTCATACAGCCTGCTGTAAACATATGCCTGAGTTTCCTCAGTCATCTTTTCTAAATGTTTCTCCCATCCTAAATGTCAGCAGATCTAAACTGAAACCATTACTCACTAGTGTTAAACATGTATTATGTAATAATGTATAGAATAATACATATGGAATACTGTGCCCAGCTTTGCTTTAAAGCTGCAGTAGGTAACTTTTTAGAAAAATAACGTGTCATATTTGTTGAAACTTTCTCTATATCCTGACAGTAGAACGTGAGACAGATAATCTGTGAAAAAATCAGGTTCCTCTGGCTCCTCCTAGTGCTTCTAAACGAAAACAACCATTCAGAGCAGAGAAAGGTGGAAACATGCTTTGGGCTGGTGGCTTGAAGATAGTTGATTGTTTTACCGCTATCTTTCTTGTTATGTCACAAATCGTTCTTGTAGGCCCTGCCACTTAAAACTTAGATTTCGAGAAAGGTAGAAAGACTCTTTGGGTTGGAAGCTTGAAGTTAATTGATTGTTGACGCTCATTCCCAGCGTCCCAAATCATCTGTATTTGACAACCTGAGAATGTGACTCAACAATTAACTATCTTTCTCAGCTCTGATTGGTTGTTTTCATCCAGGCCCGGTGGGTTCTTGCCAATACCACTAGGAGGAACCAGAGGAACCTGATGGTTTCACAGATTATCTGTCTCATACTGTCAGGATATAGTGAAAGTTTCAGCAAAAATAACAAAGTTATTTTTATAAAAGTTGCCTACTGCAGCTTTAAATACCAGTCATGTATAACCCAATGTATTTTTCTATTTCATTAATTTAAAAAAATCCACCTAAAACAATGGTTACTGGTTAAGATAACCACGTATATTATATTGCAGTGTGCATGGAATAAAACATGACTTTTCTTTGTTTTAATATCTGAGATCATTGGCCATCTGGCGCCCTGCTCTTTAAATATCGGCAGCAGCCATCAAAAAATCCATATTGATCCATATCGGTCAACCACTACTCTCACAGCAAAACCTGGAAACAGCTTTGGGTTCAGGCAAAACAATGTCTAATGTGTTGGACAAATACATCTGGTCTCACCTTCCAAGCAGATGAAAACCACTTTTTCACACAAAGAAAAGTGGCAGAATGTGTTGAATGATTGACGGTTCCACAGGTAGCCAGTAGACCCGGCAGAGCAGGGAGACAGCTTGTATGCAGGAAATGGCTTATACTGTTCAGTGGTGTATACAAGGCTTGAACAAGGCTCCCACGCATCCTAGAAAACTTTAGAGACTTGTTTTCCAGTCATGGAAACACCTGGAAATTGGTTAAAATGAGCAGATATCCTGGAAATAATCTATGTTGAAATTGCTGGATTTTAAATTTTTTTTTTTGCCCCTCACTCAGATCGCCTACGTAATCCTAGAGTCTATTTTTTTCCAAGGCTGCGAGCAAAATTCTCTTATCTCCACGCACACAGCCTATTAATGATCAAATTTCTTTTTGCTGTGGTTGATAAATACATGCACAGTGATGTGAATTGTACGTGCATCATTTTAACTTTACTAGAAGATAAATATTTTGTAAAATAATGTAAATTCTGCTGGATTTGAGCTGTTTCTTATAGGCAGTGGCCAAATTA